ATTCATTCGTGAAGCTTCTATTAAACCTTCTTAACTTGTAATCAAAAAGAAACATTTACAAGCACACACATACGTTTATTCTATTTGTTTTTCTAGATTTCATATCGAAAATCTGCTGCAATCGTTGTTCATATCATATCCAGTAGACGAGAAAACGATTGGTAATGCAATCAGTATGACGCCAGCACTTTCGAAAGAGCAAATTTCACAGACACGAGACTTTAGGGAGAGCTGAGAGTGCGAAATTGGAAAAATGTTTTCACCTAATGTGGAAAAAAAATAAATAGTCATTTTACATGTTTTTATGTATTCTTAAAAAGATATTTCGATTATTGAATTCTTCGATGACTTATCCAAGTGAAATAAAATTTAGTTTCAAGCACAGAATGTTACTTTTATTACATACTTTAGAAAAACAATCATTATTATTTAAACGATGAATATTTTTTTTACTCTTAAAATTTAATATTCCGTATGATATTTTTAACAATATCCAAGTAATCTGTGTTATAAAAAAGAAAATCCATTATGATTGGAAATAAAAAAGTAAAAAAAAGAAAATCAAAGTAGAACGACGGTCACCAGAATGCCACTGTGAGATTTATTCCTCATCATTTCCGTTTCATCGTTCCGAGTCTCATAGCTGTGCTCAAATCCGCATTTATTGTCGCAGAATATTATCGCCAAGTGTACGAAATACGAGGAAAATAGTTAGGCCAATCTACTAGAAGAAACGAAAAAAAAATATATAAAAAAAAAAAATACATTATTTGATTTATCATCTTTCTGCTCGTCTAGTAACACGAGATACTCATTTTCAGACGCTTATTTATGGTTGCAGCGACGAAAAAAATATAGTATGATCTAGTGACTTTTTGTCTTGTTCTTTAAATGTTCTCCATTGGTTAACCTCTCGGAAAGAATGATAACATTATCTATCATAACACTAACAAGAAATAATCAACCACTATTATACGATCCTACGAAGAAATATTGCCATTTTTTTCTCCAACTTGTATTAATCTGAAAAAAATTATACCGACATAATAACGGTGTTTCGAATAGAACATACACATCATGAACAACCCCTTTGAGAGAAAGAAACAGAATCATAATTCTTTATAAATGAGAAAAATTACAAAACAAATGTCTGGTTCCACTTTAAAATAATTTCGCATTATTATGCAAATTTTCTTTAGAAATGAATTTTACCAACACTTTATTTAATACGAATTTAATCATTTAATAATTATCTAACCACCATTTTGAAATTTTTTAGCTTTATTATAAATTGCAATGTTAATACAAATTTATTACTGAATTGACAATAGATAATTTATTGAATAAAATGAAACAAATTTAAATGAATATTTACAGTCAATAATAAATCAATATCATTGTTCTAAAGTAATCAAATCCTTTTAGTTGATAATTTGTAGTAACAAAATAAATTTCTATACAACACAAATAGAAGGTGATAAATGAAACAATCGGTAGTTGTGGTTGGCAACGACGCAGTTGAGATAACAAAGCATCGAGTTGAATAGAATTGTCTTATTCATTGAATCTCACGTATATATTGGTTGGTAAGTAAAATTGAAAAGAGGTACATCAGTGTAGAATTAAGTAGTCGGTCACATTTATCTAGCGACATTGAATGTCAGAATTAGTACAAATACATTCCATACAGATAATATAGCGTCATGCTCGAGGGAATTGTTTGGAACCGGAAACACGGACGTGCGCCAGTCAAACGTCCGCTGTGCATCCGGCTAATTTACCAACTTTCCGCCGTCCGATCCTCCTCCTGATTCGAGAGGCCGAGTGACAACTCGACGGGAACATGTCATCGTTCTCGTTCGTTTTCTCACCAACATGAATCGCACACCACTTTAACAATAGAAATGTTCCTGACGCGTCTTGTCTCTGATCGTAATGTCATCCTATTCAATCTTCTCCTTCTCCTCTCTTCATTCCAACTTCTCACTCTTTACATAGGGATCTAGTGAATCTATGTAGGCGCCATACCATGTGCACCAGAGCTGAAAAGCGATGGTTGCACACTTGAATGTAAAGGATTGAGTTGCGAATCTTGCGGACGAGGTACTTTTCAAACTGTAAAATCCATTTGGTAAACGATCGAAAGAAAGACGTCAAAGTGGTTCAAAAGAGCTTTTCGCGATGACACTTCATTTCCTCTCAACCAATCTACTGTCTGGTCAATGACATTCACAGGATGATGTGAATAAAATAAATAGCCGAATATATCAAACATTCCATTTAATCGATTTTTAAATATAATCTAATAATTTTTAATCAAAATTCTTGAAATTTATTTTCATACAAGAGTCAAATTCACATTGATATTTTCATTCGAGTTTTAATTTACAAAATTTCATAAAAATTCTATCGATTTTTTGAAAAATTTAATATTGTTCAGCGGAAAATAATGTTCTTTTTTGTTTATTTGATTTCTTTTCTCTTATACTGAAACAAATGGACAATATATAACGATTCAAATGTGCCAATAAATGGATCAAAAAACTACTTCCATACTGCACACGAAATTAAAAAACTTTTCAATAAAAATCCAGTGAAATTTATGAATTTTTCTCTTCGATCTATTCGAGTCATTTTCATATACGTCAATTACATTATTTTTTACATGAGTGATACTAGTGAATGCTCTTTTTTCCTATGTTCACAAGAAAAAATTGTTTATCTTTTTACCACTGACAACTACATCAACCAAATCGAGAGATACTTCTATAGTTTCAATATCTGAAAAATCGGTTTCACAGAATAAAAAAAAATCATACAGACAATAGCTCATGCTATTGAACTTTCGAAAATCATATTGAAACCGAGTAACCTACATCAAAACAGAGTAAACTACCCATCAGTGAGCTTTAATGCTCTAAAATCTATAAATGCAGTGCAAAGGTATACATTTATCTATTAGAGTTTCTCCCTAAGCGATCTGAATGGTAAATATATTAGATTTGTTTATGAAAACAAAGTCAACATGAATTAACATTGCACTGTCAAACAGTATATCCAGTAACTTGTCCCAGTGTTACATCAATTTAATTTAACACGACGTCAAATAACATAACGACACGACTATTGGTATATCACTTTAAATTCTCATCATATTTTAAGGTTTCTATTCTTCTATATATTTCACACATCTTACAAGCTAACAAGTCTAAGTACATCAAGTGGTCATTGCTCTCATCATTTTTATAAATTATCTTTCTCAAGTCATGTATACCAATTATAAGGTCAATTAATTTTTTAATTAGTTAATTAAAATTTATAAAAGCTCATTCTTTTTTAATTATTTCAATCATTACGAAAATAATAATAAATGTTTCTTTTTTAGTGATTCATTCCAATTAAAAAACAGTCATTGATTATTTTTTGTTCATCAATATTAAACCTATTTTTTTCAATTTTAACATTAATTATATTTTTATAAATTGCTTTAGTAAAAAATTTTGTGAAGACCATCTATTTGTTAAATAAATTAAATTATCTACTAATATTGTTGAATTATGATAAATAATTCAAATTCCGTGAACAATAAAAAAATTTATCGCTTTTTCTGTAAAAGAATAATCCACTGAATGGTTAAAAAAAGAGTTTATAGACGAAATAGACAGATAAATGGAAAAATAAGTGTATCAAATATTCGTTTGTTACAGATAGAACGTATCTAATCGCAGCTTTCTACACATTCTGACACAGACAATTGAGCGTAATCCTCTAATTTGACTGGTATCCAGCCAATTGACAAGAGTAACCACACGTGCCAATCATTGTTAATTTGATTCATTTTGTTGAAAAGTTCTTCAAAAATCAAAGCTAAGACGAGATTAATAGAAAAAAAAGAAATGAAATAAAAATATTAAACATATTTTTATTATACGGTAAAATCACAAAAATATACCTGGCTATATAACGTCAATATAAAAAGTAATACTTGTATTGAGTACTTTATACATTTCAATGACGTACCATATCTAACTGAAGTAGAAATGTATTACATCAATGTTCTCATTACTTTGAACTGAAATTCCAGTTTATTTTCATTTCAACTCGACAGCTGAAGAGAAAACTATTCAATACGTAATAACACTTCTAATAAGTTCGTATAACTAAAGTTACACCATCGAGATGTGATTAAAAATTGGTTATGCAAACATATTTTATCAATAATATTTAGAATTAGAATATTTTTGTTGAATTATTGAAAAGATGTTGAATATTTTTATTTAATTTAGAACATAGATAAATATTGGAAATGAATTGTATGAAATATAGTTTTTGCTCAATCAAAGAGAAACACTAAAAATATCAAAAATATTTTTATCGTTGCAAGTGTGACGAGTGTCTATTTACTTCTCAAATTGTTGATAAAAAAAAAACATCAAAATAAGTTGAAGAGAGTAAGGATAAAAAAAATTTTCAAACGAAAAAACTTTCAAAAAAAGTGTCACGTCTATTTGCATAAAATTTTGAATAAAATTTTTTTAATTGAAATACTCGGCATTGTTCGAGTAAAATTTTTTTAGCTCCAGCAAAATTGAACAGATCTAACATTTGCATACCAAATGATGGAAATATTGAGAGATGAATTTCTCTATGTGTATAAATGCCGTAAAAGATATCACGAAAAATTAATCTTATATAATTCGAGAATCACTTGAAACTTCACTTCAGCAAGTTCTTCTTTTATTTTGTGTAACACTTGAGGGACTTAAACTCCTTCTTCACGACTTCTTCATGTGCGCCCGTTACCAAGCATTTTGTTGCTTCAACTTACAAGACACCCAAGTAATTCTCAGACTTTCTTCCTTGAAAAGCAAAAACCATTCAAAGTATTTGTCGCAAGATATATACTGAATTATAACTTTGGCTAATCGTCACTTATTCTCCACCATATTATTTCATTTTCTCCAATCTTAAGACAAACAACAAAAACAAAATTAAATTACCATTTCGTTGAATAAATTACAGTGATGCAATAAATCCGCTACACACTAAAAGTCACTTAAAAAAAGTACACAAAAATTGGAAAATATTTTATGTTATCTTTACACTTTTTTCGTCACTTTTATCATCTTAAAAAAGTACACAAACTTTTAAAAACAATTCGACACATTCACTTGCATTTAATGTTAAATACCCGTAAAAACAACCTTACTAGACACTGATATGAAATTGTCATCATTTTGACAAGTGATTAGAAGGCGAAAGTAGAAAAGAAAAAATGTAAGGATAATCCTCACAATATATGAATAGTCAACACACATAGGGAGAAACACGATGTAAAGGCAATAGCCTGACATAAAACAACACATCCACGTTCGTTGGGCGACTGGCGCTTGACACTACCACCCTTCTTGAATTCCACCCCACCATTTGCCATAGGCCGCAACCCCACTACCCCTTCTGCTCTCGTCCCTCTCATACTATCATCGCGGCTTCATAGCAGACAACTTTTGGACGCATGCGTTCGTCCTAGATTTTGTTTCCACTTCTGATTTTTCTGTAATAAAAACGTTTGTCTGCTCAAGTCTCTTACCACACGTATTATATCTCAACACTACAACATATCTCTTATTATCCTAATATTCTAAACCTTTTCTGCTTATCCTGCGTACTTGCCTTTTTCATTTTTTCTCTGCCGAGGCAATGCTCAACAAATTTGTTTTTATTCTGTCTGCATACAATACACTATATCAAACATTCTACGACGTGTTGTTTTATTCTATTTATCCGATAATTATCCTACCTGTCAAGGAAATTATTTATTTACATGTTATATGTCTCTAATGGCTGATAAATTATCAAATTTTATTGGTATTAAATGTTTATTAGATAAATGATCGATTTTTCAAGATCTTTTGAAACCCGTTTATTAAATCAATTCACCAATTATCGAATATTTTATTTTCAATATAAATACATTTTATTGTAAATAATTTAGCAAACTAAAATATTAATAATCTATTTAGTGGATCAAAATGTTTCATGCATATTTTATAACTTTATTGATGTGATTGAATCATATAAATAGAATAATTTTAACGTTTATATATATTCAATGATAAAATATTTTTTTTAAATATTAATTTCTAATAATTTGTTAAAAAACTTTGGTCGACTATTAAAAAACAATCGTCAAAGTGTATAAATGAAATCCCAAAAAAATTTATAAATTTAGCTTAGTTCAGAACGAAATCAATAAAATAGAAAATTCACAAACAAAAATGATCACGCAACTCTTAAGAAACCACGCCCAAGAAAACATTAATTAACATCTGTCTGTTGGGGTGAAATTTATTAAAGACATAACAATACTGAAGTATCTACTCAAGAATGAACAAAATTTTCGACAAATCTTGGCAGACAATAGGTTTTATAGTACTGCAGTTTATATCTATTACTATGAAAAGAGAAAACAAAAATGAAATAACAAACTTTATATTCATCTGATAATGTATATTATTTAAATGTCAGTATAATTTTAAAACTAGTTTCGACTTGAATAATTTCAAATAAACAATAATCAATTATTTACAAATAAAATATACTTCAAATTTGTTTACAAAGAAAATCATAATTTCACAAATATTAATGTGATGTCTCTGATACTTCTGATTCTTCTGAAGTTGGTGCATTCTGTTCATCAGTCACCACTTGGAGAACATCAGCTTTCAACAGATGTACCAATTCACTGGATGTCAATGCCTACAACAAATATAAATAATTGGGATGTTCAATGAGCTACTGAATTATAGGTATCGAAAAACACTTAGAGAGGAAAAAATAATAAGTGGAAGTAGTAATACTTCATTGCAGTATTACAAGGTTTTAATAATTAAAAAGCTCTAGTTATTTATGAGGGTAAGATAAAAAAAGGCTCGTAAATGCTTTTAGCGATTATATTTTTTTAGTCTTTTTTGCATCGTACTTGTAAATGTGGCGTTATGTGTCTTATCAATGGATTTGCAGCAAGAGCTGCTTCCTCTTCAGTTGCTAATCTTCCTCCTGTACTTATAAATCTTGCCAAAGAATCTTCTTTTATTTGTGATAGAGAATCCACTAGATCTTTTTTTGATTTTCCACCTTGAACATTCTTCAATCGAGTATCTACAAAAAATTATGACATTACAGCTTTAAGTCCTTTCATTTGATGATAAATAACTAATGTATAGTTAAAAATAATAGCAAATAAGAAAATTACTCCGAAAAACTCACAAAGCTTTTCTAGATACTGTTCAGAATCAGATAACCTCGTTGAGTCAATCATTGCTTCCTCAGCTACAAATGAATCTTCAAACTCAGTAATTTTATTCTCTTCAACCGGAAAACTTTCAGAATTCCAGGGATCCATAGCTATTGTTTTCATTGTGGTGGCTTTAAATCTATTTTTTTGGAGCAGAAAATTCACTTTCAGATGATTTAATACTTTGACGTAATGTTTATCAACATACTACTCCAAAATGTCATTTTCGATACATGGTCATTTAATACGTGGTTCCATCTCACGACAGAAAAAAGCAAGAAGACATTCACCTTTTCGACGGATGATAAAGTAAAGTTTTAAAAATGTACTAAAAAATATACTATTCAAAAAAAAACATGTATTCTTTGATTTATCTAGTCCGAAAAGAAAACTAGATATACAAAAATAACTAAATGGTTTTCAAACTATTTTTACAATAAAATTGAACAACATGTCAAAATATTTTTTTATAAAAATACCATTGGTTTTATTGTAGAGAGTAAACGCATATAATACTATTCTATTACTCTAGTGTTTTATCAGTCTAATATGTTTTTCTTATAATTAAACACCGGTATATTATATCTATAATGTGATCATATCAGTGATCACATTATCAATTTATATCAGCATATAAATTCGACAAAATATTTTACTATGTCATAACGCAAAATATAATAATACTTATTAATCCTTGCAATAGCTAATATTATCAATGGTATAGATATATGTACATTAATTAATATTTTTTACAATTGAAATAATTGTAATAATAATACTAGGAATGTATAATATTGTTTACGCATTCTCATATACAAGATAATAACAATTTATGATTCTTTTAGTACGACTCTTAGTACAATGTGATTCATAGTTATTCAAAGAAAAACTTAAAAAAAAATAGTACATGATAACATATATAGAATAAAATTAAAACTACTATTGCAATTACATTCAATAGTACGTTATGCAAAAATTGTATGATTTTTTGGGACCATTTCCGTCTTCTAGGAACTGTTATATCAAAGTACAAAAATTCTTATATAAAATTGATCTGCACTGAATAAAAAACGATCTTAAAGAGTAAAGTAACTCATAAAAATAATTGAGCCAGATATAAATCACAACCAACAACCATTTAATATTAATAAATTTCTTTTCACAAAAAAAACTGAGAGACTATTTTACGTTTATCATTTCAATAGCATCAACTATACTATTTATTCAATGTTTTTATACGAATATCTTTTTTAAAAGTTAAAAAGTTTTTTCTAAATTATTATTCATTTGTGAATAGCAGAAATCTATTGTATAATATTCATCACTCTTTGTAGTATAGTCACCTTAGTATTTGATTTATAAATTAGTTTAATATTAAAATATTTAACAATAAAGCTATCATAAAAGTTTAAAAAAGAAATTAAAATCACTGTAGTCTTAATGTCCATACACTTCAAGCATTTTATAGAGTTAGATAATTAAATTATAACTCTAAAACCTTGAAAAAAGTTTTACAAATGCAGCTGATCAATTGATTTGTTTAATCAAACTGAATAATATTAAAATAAATCATCACAACCAATGAGTGAAGTCAACAGATAAAAATATTAGTACGATATTACTACCAGAAAACTATTCTTCAAAAATATAACCAACTATTCAATAAATTATTGCCACGTGTAGGCACAAAATGCTGCATAATTAATTATTCATCCATAATGCTACGAAAACTCTAATTTCAACCTTAGCTTTTCATTATGATGCTCACTGAAGGCAAGTTTACATTTATAATCTCCAAAATAGTTGGAGTTATATAATATCAATTGAATGAATTATCTTCTCATTATAACACGTTTATACAAATGAGATCATGTTCTAAATTATTGTGTTCTATACATGAAACCCATTAAGAAAAAAATGAGAAAACTCTCACCCTTACCAGCGGGTTAAAATAACTCATTACTCATAACTAAAAATTAAATAATTACATAATGGCCTAGTACTCTTTAAAACTTGGCAAAACATCAAATGTTTGATTATTATTCTCTCTGTACTTCCCACATCAACCTAAATATTGGTGCTTATACTGACGCTATCTTCAGAATAAGATGTTCATACTGAACAGAAGTCAAGTGGCAACAGTTATAAATCACAGTGAAGAATACCAGTGTCTCATAATATATGGGAAGAGCGCATATTTAATTATTTAAGACGCCGTTGAAGGCGGCCTTTCCCAACAGCATAACCATCTTCGCCACAACGGAGGCGGCTTCCTATGACGTGCTAGCAAATAAGCGCCACCACGCCTCGTACTCAAGGCACTTACGATTGCCTGATCGAAGGCTTCTTTAAGATCATGCTGAGTTAATGCTGATGTTTCAACATAACTTACCGCACCTAATTTTTCAGCTAATCGATGTCCTTGTGCTGTTATTATCGGTGCTTGACCGTATCGCGCCAACTGCATTGTTAATCGTACATCAGATCTTAAATCACTTTTAGTACCAACCTGGTAATAAACAAGAATACGATTAATCAATTTTAATGTTCATAAAGTAAATAACTTTTTATGATAATAATAAATTTTTTTGTAACAAATGAACTATTCATTACTTTATCTAAAAATCACATTAAATTTAATTTACTTACAAGAATAATAGGTGTATTCGGACAATACTTTTTAACTTCATCAAACCATCTTGAGCTCACACTATGATATGATGAAGGACAAACGACGCTAAAGCAAACGAGAAAAACGTCCGTTTCTGGATAACACAGTGATCTTAAAGGATCAAAATCATCCTGTCCAGCTGTGTCACATAATTGAACATTAAGAGGTAATCCATCGACGTTGACGACCACTGAAATGAAATATCCACAGTAAAGTTATCATTTTAATTAATAACGTGAGTTACATAAGAAGATTTTTAAAATAAAATAAAATCTATAATAGACCCCGCTGGGAAATAAACTCGTTATATTGATAGAGATATATGAAAATAAAATACAATAAAAAAAAAACAATAAAAATGGAATTAAACCACAGATTTCAAATGATACATACTCTTTCGGAATTGAATTCAATAAGCACACATACAACCCCCAACTCCAATTTTAATTTATATTACATTTTAAAACACACCTGGATGGAATTAAAAATTTATTAAAGAAAATCAACTTTTAATAGAAAATAAATTGAACAAGTTCTCTCATTCAACTTTTTGTTCACAAAAACAAATACGGTTTTCATTGATTACTTCCTACAATTGAATACTTTGAAAACAAAATGAATAAAGAATTATTTCCATATCAATACAAGTTTTTAAAGACCAAAAGTTTATTTATCAGAAGATTTGAATAGAGGTCAAGTATTTTGATAGCTTAATTATTTGAAATTATTTTTTTTTTTACATTCGTCGAACATTTTAGTTTTAAAAAATTCATTATTCTATGAATGAGTAATTAACAAAATAAAAACATTGTTGTCAATAACAAAAAAAAACGCCAATTCTCGATACTAATCGACATCAGTGATGTATTGTAATTAATTATTACCAAATGTTATTCAATAAATTAACTAATAATAAGTATGAAATTCAATAGGTTCTATAATCCTAATGAGTTTTAGATTACAATCAGTTAAATAAGCACCCGGAATTTCAGTGCTTATGGAAGCATTGGTAATACGATCCCTTGAGTAAATTAGTATAAGCCTGGGCAGTCTTTCCTTACTTTATTATGTGAGTGTGGCCAGTGACGGTATATACTCTCACCTGTTGCCCTGTCTGGTTTCTTTGACCGTACAGTCGCAGTAAAAATGAGTGTGCTGACGAATCTCTAATCATGCCAAGGCAATTGAATTGAATGATTCACATTTGAACATTGATATTAGCACGTCATATTTAACAATCATCACAATATTATATTGTAATTAAACAAAAGAAATGTACATATCTCATAATAATCAGTCAAAATAAATTGATAAAAATATGTTTGCGGAACGTTTCTTTATTCTAAAATTCAGAACACAAAGTAGATCGATGAATTCTCGAGATTATACAGACTGTACAATCTTGTAATTCTATCACGACCGAACACTCGTGAGTTTATCTACTCCTCTGATTATATACGCAGGATATCTACAGCATTATTTTCATACTAACCATTGTAATTATCGAAGGCTGTTGGAACATATTCCCCAGGGAAACCATTGGTAGAATAAGAAACAACGAGACTAGTTTTTCCAACTGCTCCATCACCGACGAGCACTACTTTAATTCTTCTGTCAAGGGCTTGGCTGGCTGTATGTTCCAAAGAATTATTTTGGATATTATTTGTTTGCCTGTTGCCAGTCGCTCGTTTCACCTGCATCTGCAACATTTGCCCACCTTTCAGCAGAGGCTTCGTCCAATTTGAATGCGAAGAAGGTGGCATCCTCTCTTTCACACGTTTACGACCTCCTTTCATGTACAATTATTCAATATTTTCTTGTTGATTTCTTCGTATTCTCTCCCTTGTTATTTATCGTGCTTTTTATTATTTTCGCTTATGCAGTATATTTATGTACCTTTTGTCACTGGAAGTCAAGCACACGCAGAGACAAGGTCGTTGTCAGTATCTCCCACTACTTCTAAGGATGGAACAGCTGTTTTAAACGAAACTTCATGTTGCTACAGTGCTCTAAACTTCACTTTTCATTTATCTCGTATTCTTATCACTGGTGCTTTTATCAAATCACTAACAGAGTACTCAAGTTACTATTTATCGTTTCTTGATACTCTGCTGACTCAACTGCTCATACTCGTCAACAGAAGCGAACAGAAGTGTGCAGAAAACAATGAAGAGCAAATTCACCAGAGATCTAATACTCGTTTGACGAGAAAGGTGACTGATTCACCTGCCGCAACGTGGAGCCACCTGTTGTGAAACACAAGATGGCATCTTCTCTTTCCCTTTACTTGGCTCTCTATATGACCATTGTCGCCAGAACGTCTGGTAAGTTCGATAAATTGCAATGCTATCTGCAATGAATAAATTTCTTGTATATACTATTTCCTATTACATTATAATTATAATAATTATATTTTATTACAAATTACTCCAAAAAAGAAAAAACAACGGTATTCACTTCAAATTATTTATAATTTTTTTTTGTTTGTCATTTAAGATAAAAGAACAAAAAATTGAATTGCATCAACTGAAAATTAATTGTTTTTGTAGTGAAGGAGTTTAATTAAGGCTATGAGTATATTAATGCATAGTATTTTTTTGGTTTTAAAACTACTCTGAAAATAACCTTATATACTGTATATAATAAATGAATAAATAAATAAATTGTGATTAATTACATGCAATAGGCAGTCGCAGATTTACAACTATTTAGGAATTTTAAATTAACCAAAAAAATAATATCTATTTGGTGTTTACCTAATTGAAAAGGAATTTGATAAGAGTTTAAAATGGATCAATCTTATTATTGTGTAGTTTCGTAGAACACATGGCTTCACGGCACGTGCGCCTGAGAAATCTAATTTTTTGTTATTCAAACAGTAGAGTCATATGAACGACTATATGCACGAAAGGAGAAGAATAAAATAGTGTCATCTGACAGTTCATTTCGGGAGACAAGTCGCAGCCTTTGGCAGATGCGTCATCGTGGTTTCTGGATACGATGTTTTTTTTTGATCAGCTGTTGTTAATGTTTATGATTCTAGAGGTTTTGTGTTAGTTCATAGAACAGCATATGTAGCTGATCTTTTATTCATTCAATAATATTTTAGATACAAACGATGGAAATCATTCTTGTTACTAGTTGGTGTAGATCTGAAGTAGATTGATTTGATTGTTCAAATGAATTATTAATCGCTAATAACATAAATTAGAACAAATAGTTGTAATATATATTTGATTATTAAAACATGAATAAGATCGTTAGAACATATATTTAATCATTGGAACATAAGACCTTACATTCGTAAGGTTTATAAGAATTTAAATTTTATGTGAACAAAGCAAACAACAAAAATAAAAAAAAAAATACGAATTCAAACAAATATATAAAATATAAATACATGAAAATGTAACATATAATACAATACGTAATAAAGAAAGATAATAGGCATAGAAAGCTTGTCATTAAGGATTAAAGTATGCCTATAATGAAACTATAAAATTAGATAACACATGAAACTTAAGCCTACATAAAATATGCACAAAAGATAAGATAGTAAAGAGGGAGTAAAATAGTTCGAAACTGAAGTTCAAAGCTGTATACCACCGCTCTTTGCTATCTATTATGCCATCATCGGTGTCTTGCCTGGTTGCTGTAACGAGTGGTGTTGGGTAGCTTGAAAGCTTACCAACGGGCCTGAAGCACAGCGTAAGCACTTGCCTTCTTGTTTATCTAGTGAAACTTAGGGTTGATTCTGTGGAAATCTAACTTATCTCTCACAAGAATAGCCTTAGAATAAATATTCCTGGAGATTTTGATCTTCTCCAAGGTTTTTGAACAAATGTGCTTGTTCGCTTTGTTCCTGCCAATATGATACAGGAGCGGTATGTTGTAGATGTCCTGAAAGTGACCACGTGCATCCCACTCCATAAAGTGCTGGGGCTTGGAGCAGCCTTTTGCGCCTGCTGCTATTACTTCTTCTCTTGAGTACATGCCAAGTCTGTTGACTGTTTCGTTCTTAATTTTCTTTATGCCAACAAAGTACTCTCGATTGAGCCTGAGTAAAAAATAATCGATGCGTGGAATGTTGGCCTTGTCGTAAAGGCTTTAATTGTCCTAGTTTCTCACATAACCTGTGTCTCGTCGTTTGTACAAGTTCAGCACTGATCTTAGACATGTGCGCTCTAGCTGGTGTCTATGTTAAGCTGCCTTGGAGAGTTGACAGACTCGTAATGAGCACCAATGACGTTCGACTTGCTGACTGGATCTGATATTTTATAGGCACCATTGAAAGTTGGAATGTTGTCCGCTTCCATTTTTGAGTTAACTATTAAGTCCGTTCTTGATACTGGAATAAAGATGCCTGGCAGTGAAGTCTTTTCTTTAGATCTGAAGAGTCTATTTATGGTGGGGAAAAAGGTTACAGAGTCTCCGTAGTCTACTTTTGAATATATTTTCCAGTGCTTGATGATGTTTCTCTGGAATTCTGTTATTATATGATCCCTGACCTGGCGTATGAGCTGCTTGCAAGATCTAGCAAAGTCTGATCTGAGCAGTGGGTCACTTCTGCGGGTATGGTTTAACTCGTTCGTAGAAGTCTACCCAGTTGGTGGCTTTGTAGTTGAATCTCTTTACCGTTTCAATTATCACTGTCATAGGGGAACATGTCAAGTGCAGAATTATGGTTGACGATTCTCAGTGCGTCGTCAGCCATACACAAATCCAAGAACGTCGCAGCCGATATGAAAGGGCAGCCTTGATAATTAAGGGCTCATTCTGTATGTTTTGATGCTTGAAAATGCGGAATTCAGGCATACCCTACAAAATGTATTCTAACCCCGTTGAAAACGGGCAAAACTTTAGGCATCAATAACTTTGAAACGGTGGGTCCAAAAATGCTTTTCTGGGACGTTTTAAAAACCTTACAATCTAAGCTAAAGATACATGTCTATAAAAAACATATCAAAAAATTCCTTTACGCTTAATATCGCAAAAAAAGAACAAAAGTCGCACTTTCTCTGAGAGTTTGCTAAGTATTTTGGCGATTTTATGGATGGAGAATTTTTTTTATCTGTTTTTCATTGATATGGGTCTCTAGCTTAGATTCTGAAGTTTCTGAATACTCCTCAACAATTACTATCGGACAGTTTTTCACGAGATATTCAGGTTAAAAGTCAGCGAAGGGGTAAAAGAATCATCCACTCTTTACCTTTTAACTTAATTTATGATTTTTTTTATAACCTTGTAGCGGCCATCTCGGCGTTGAAGCGCAGCGAATCAATCCCTAATTATTTTATTTTCTTTTTAATTCTTTGTTACAAAAATCAATTGGATAATTAAAATTTGTACTTTTAGCACTGCAACATAAAATAAGCTTTCATTCAGGACCAAAATTTTTAAGTAAAAACACAAATTCTCGGAAAAATTAGAAACATACGATCCAATGTATTAAGATAGGAGGAATCAGTCAGCTCTATGACTCGAGCCCAGCCTTAAATGCCCAATCGTGGAGCCATCTTCTTCTGAGGTTGCATGCACGGTTGCCCCACTCCCCAACTATCACGTATGCATTGTGTCCTGATTGTAGCTTTAGAGTGTCGAGCAAGGCTTTTAGCTCATCTAAGAACATTTTCTTCGAGGATATGTTGTTCGTAGCATAGACGGATACTATAATCAGCTTTTTTCTCTGCACGGTGCACAGTTGTATCACCGTGTATTCAACAATTTGGTTTTTTAGATGATCGGGTGCACTAATAACTTCGTAGTCAAGTCATTTGAGGACTCCACCGTTATAGGCTCCAAATTATTTGTATCTTTTTTCAAGTAATTCAGAGTCAAAAAGAAAAAAAAAATAGAATTGCATCGGCCGGGAATCGAACCCGGGCCGCCCGCGTGGCAGGCGAGCATTCTACCACTGAACCACCGATGCTCGAGCTCCAAAATTTTTGGAGTAATATTCAATCTGTGCACACATACATCAAAGACCACGTGTTAGATATTGCTCCACAATACTATCACACTAGAAACACAGTAAATAATTGTACACATGCGCTAGATGTGCAGAAATCAACTTATAACAACGCATTCAAGGTAATAATGTTTGAATCTTAGTGTTGCCATTTTCTAAAAAAGGTTAGAATTTTATAAACATAACCTAAATTTCCAATTAATTTTAAATAAAAGTTCATAAACTATCCGCATTGTTAACTTTCTGTCCTCAATCAATAGACGACCTTGAGTAGCTAACACCACATTGTTATAATGAGTCAGTGCAGCAACGTAAACACATCGTTTCCCTTTGAATTGATACTTATACAAGTCTGGAGATAATAATTGGTATTTATATGTGATAACTTTATCACGTGTATGAGATTCATTTGTAAACTATGACTTTTGAGTGAATATTAAAGTTTCCTGTGGAATTGATACATTTATTCAAGTTTATCGTTTTTAGGAGTGAAGTCAACTCGCTACTTCAGTGAAGTCAAATTAAACTGATTAACAACAAATCCAATTTTGGAGTAGCAGCTTATTCATGTTGAAAACATGTCATTCTTCAGGATTCCGAATTTCAGCAGACACGTGAGGTTTGTGTGATTTTGAAAAGAAATCAAGTGCTTTGTTATTTCCTAACCTCACATCAATTTACAGACCAACAGGACGTGGTTCGTGGCAAGCAACATCTGTAAAAATCACGCAATGGATTTACTTTAGACGTTATTCATATGAAGCTGAGGGTATCAAAAAGTCCAGAGGGTTATGGAGTTTTACGAAGAAATGGACAATAAGCTTACCCATTGGTATTGGTGTTTCTTTAATTACAATCTTACAGTTAAAATATTTTTGGGGACATCATTCTTCTACTAATGGAGAGGTCAAAAGACCTATAAATAATTTAATGGTGAGTAATAAATCAATAATATAATTAAAAAAAGTTTAACAAAATGTGTCGTATACTGATGGTTTTTCAGGTGGAATGTTATTGCTGTCTACCTCTGAGGATTACGAGTCGAATATTTGGATGGTTTGCAAGTGTAGAACTTCCTCAGAGTTTTAGACCATTTGTATATAACTTATATGCTAAAACTTTTCATGCAAATTTACAAGAAATTGACTGTGATCTGAAATCATTTCCAAGCCTTGTAGATTTCTTTGTCAGACCACTGAAACATGACGCGAGACCTATTGCTCAAAATACTAATCTTGTAAGTTTATTCCTTTATTATAACTTTATAAAAATCATATAATTATATTTGAACACTAACAAATACAGGTTTCTCCCGTGGATGGAACAGTGTTATACTTTGGTCCAGTAAATTCTTGTCGTGTTGAGCAAGTTAAAGGTGTGACATATAATCTTAGACATTTTTTGGGTGATGCAAAATCATCAACACTAAGTAGCAAGACTGAATTTTGTAACGAAGAAAACGATAGTTACTTAAAGTCGCTTTTGAAGAATTCTAAGAATAAATTATATCAATTAACAATATACTTAGCACCAGGAGATTATCATCGCTTTCACAGTGCTGCTGATTGGAAAATAAACTTCAGAAGACATTTCCAAGGTATTAATTTTCGAAACAGAATATTGATCGTGTTAATAAATGCCTTGAAATCATTTCACTGTAATTACCAATTTTTTAGGAAAGCTACTGAGTGTAAATCCAAAGATAGCAAGCTGGTTGCCAGACTTATTTGCCATTAATGAACGAGTCGTTTACCTTGGAGAATGGACAGGAGGTTTTATGGCATATGCCGCCGTAGGTGCAACAAATGTTGGCTCCATTCGTGTTTTCTGTGATGATAATTTAGTAACTAACAAAAAAAAGTGGCCGAAAGACAAATTATGGGAAGATACTATGTTTGAATACATGAAAATAAAAAAAGGACAGCTTTTTGGAGAATTTCGAATGGGATCGACCATTGTGCTTTTATTTGAAGCTCCAGAAAATCTAAAATTGTGCATAGCACAAGGTCAATCAATTAGAATGGGCCAAGCATTGACTGAACGACCTATTAGTCATTATAGTACAACATTTAATCATTTAAATGAGTGTGCACTAGAAGCTACAAAACTTATTAATATTGGAGTATATAATTAGATTTATTTTAATTCAGTGACTGTGACATGTTTTTTTTTCAATTCAATATAAATCTGAAAAATAATGCATTTTTTATAATTGTTTTATCATGATACAGCATAGCTTATAAAATAAATAATGTAAATAAATATTATGTTCAGAAATGCAAGTCTACATAAGCTTTTAAATTTTATATAAATACTATTTTTATGCTGAAAGAATTGAAAACTGTTGTAAAAATAATTGGAAAAAATAGATTATAAATAAAATTGGACTAAAAAGGGAGATTTAAGATAAACTTCATGACTCTTCAATGATTTTTTAAAAACTCCGGTTAAACGTCAGATGCATATTCTACCGTAAATCAAAGATGGAAGAGTTGAAACACGAAACTTCCCTTTGTCCTTGACTTTATGGCATAAAATTGGTTAGCGGTAGTGAAAAAGGTCAGATCTTATTTTGATAAATACTGCGGAGTCAGAAAAAAATAAAATTTGCTCATGGAACATCGCAATTATTTCAACTTACATGTCTGTTATAATTTTACTTGAATCGTGATAAACACCGTGCGATACTTAACTTTAAGTCTTTGCATTTAATAATAAAATTAATTTCGACGTAAAGTTAATTATCAGTTCTTGTGCATGACATATTTTTAATTTATTTGTTAATTATGTTTGTAAATAAAAGCCTGATACTATAATATTTTTTAATAAAGTTTTTAGACACGTAAACTCCTGATTAATCGATAAATGTACTGAAAACCCTATTTCTTCACAATTTAACACATTGATATTTCTGTAAACCAACATCACTACTATAAGTGACTTTGCGTAATTATATATAATTCACTTTTAAAATCGAACATCATTGTATACCACATGTACATTTCGCGTGGAAAAAAACCCGCCACGTCAGTATAAGAAAAAGCTCGCTATTTTATTATAAAATTCTATCATGTTAGTACTGATAGATATAATAAATAAATAAAAATTGTTCTAGAAAATAATTATTTTTTCTACAATCGATATCTCATTATACTCCAATTAACTGTTTTAATTAATAAAAGTTTATTTAATAATTCAAAGCTAACACGACAAATTCAGCTTTCAATGTTTTCATTGTAGAAACATCAGAATAAGTATTAAAAAAAAATCCTCCCAGCTGCTAACATTTTTTTTAGCTAACAGTTTGTATTTATTTTTAACTCGTTGTATTTTCTGTATTTTAATTAGATCGTCAATTTTCTGTCATTTTTTTCATTCTTATTGGAATAATCTACAATTTTATCCCTTTGCAAAAAAAAATAAACATAACGAACGAGTAGAAACGTAGCTAAAAAGAATCTACATTCAACAAAAATATGACTTTCTAGCTTCTGTAATAATTTGCGTGTCAGATTTTCCCTTGCCTGACCACGAATTTATTTATACCCTTATATTAGTTACATCTTCGTATGTGTGTATTGAAGCATATCCAGACGCAGTTTAACAATGTTTGGCATGCGTATTAGCAATGTTGTATATTTTATATAGTTCAGTAGAACAACGCAAAGCCAATATTGTAATGTTAAGGCAAAATACTGCAATCATCTGAGACATGTGATCATTATACAACACAAAGAACCTGGAGATTTATTTACCCAATCGATCCAACCATCTAAAACCTCGAGGTCTCGTACTATGTAATTTAAAAAATCTGTTGTGAAGATTAATACTTCACTTGGAATAATCTTGATTTAATTATCTAATTTAATGAGATGAAATGCAAAGGAGAATTTTTGAATTACTTTATGAATTCAAGAAATCTTTCAGATGGATACTTTTAATAAGGCCTTTAATAAACATATTTTAAAGTTTTTAAATATATCTCAATTAAATAAAAATATCTCTAATATTTCATGACAGTATTCATAAAAATATTATAGCAAATAAATTTTCATTAATCTAATAAATAGCTGTCAGAACTTTATCATTAGTTAACTACAATTGATGTATCTATTCATGATAATTCAAAGAGATTAGTGCATTGTTTTAATGAAAATTAGTTATGACATTTGAGAAAATGATTATTGAAAATAAAAAAAAATAGAACAGTAGTTTGGTATAAACTTGGTATTATATACAGCTATACACACATTCAACGGAACCGCCTGGTCGCAAGCTCTTTCAGTAAGCATTGCGATGCTCATGAAAGCAGTACTGTTGCTAGTACGGTCAGACCACTCACATCGTGTACAATTAAAAGTTTGGAACTAAACCATACAACATAGTGTAATAATATTAATAACTGATTTAAAATTGAAATGTTGTCAAATGGGGGGTAGTAACCATTTTCGTGTTACACTTTCTGTAAAGAAAGAACCAGATGCTGGGCCTGTTTATTGTAAAATGGAAACATCTGCAAGATTTCGACAACTCAAAACTGTGAAACTTAGTATTGATGCTACATATCGTTTTGACATTAGCTTCAAACCACCTCAACTGTTGCAGTAGGTACAGTTAGTTATTAAATGTTTGAATTTGAAAACTTATTCTTTAATTTCATTTAATTAAATTTTTTTCAAGCTAAAATTTTATTCAAGCTCTTTATAAACCAATTCATATCTCTTTTTATAAGTTTTTTTCCTTCATCCAATTAATCTTTTTTCGATTCATTTAAGAATTATTGCTATTATTGATACATTACATAATACAAATGAAAAAAAAAATAATTATTTTAAAGTTGTTTCGTAAGTCAGCAAGCTATAACTTTTTCATTCTTTTCTTCGACAAGTCTTTACCCTACAGATATGATACAAGTACATTGAACAATTTTCCATTTGAATAAATCAATTGAAATACATGAAGATCTGAAATATTAGTTTTCAAATTTGATCATATAAATATTATAGTAAGACAATTTTTTTATCGAACTTTATGAGAAAAAGATATTTTTTATAGCAATTGATTCAATTTTTATGATAGTTTATTCAAGCTTCTTAAAATATAAGTTTTCCAAGTAAAAAGTAATCAATAGAAGTTAAGTGAAAAATTGAGAGACTCATTTTTTAGAAATTGGTTATAAAGTTAAGATAAAAAATTCTCGGTATTTCTACATACATCATGAAGTATCTAAAAAGTAATTATCTCATTAAACATCTAACTTCATATCAAATTTTCATTACTAAATAACGTAATAGAGGAGCTTTAAAAACACAGGAAAAAAGTAAGCGAAACTTTTAGTAGTTTATTCATTAATATTGCAAAATCCTTTATGTTGAAACATAGCATTTTAGGTATTTTTTTTCTTCTCAATATTTTATATTATTTTTGTTGCTCCCATGCTCAGAGCCATACATGAAAAAGTTTAAAACCTTGAACATTACGAAACTTAATGTCTATCTAACTAAACTTAACTTATGATCATAAAAATTTTAAATATACATGAAGATTTAAATATATTAAAAACAAAAAACTCAATTTTACTCATCAAAATATTTAAAACTTTTATGTCAAGCTTTATCAATATTTTAACGTTTTTCACAGTAAGCTTGTTGATATTAGCAACCTTCACCAAAGAATATGTCTGAGGCTTTATTTTTTACCAGCCTAGTTCGGAAATATCTCACTGTAAAAGTGTGACACTCATTTACTAAATTATTAAGAAAACCCTATGATTGTGGATCTATTATCGGATACCACAGTAGAGTATTGATTGTATCCAACATACAGAATAAGATACTCTGACCTCAAAAAACCCTGTATTTGAAGTTATATGTCAATGAATTTACAATGATTTATAGTGTAAATACTTAATAGTTACAAGAAATGTGTTTTTTTAAAATTGACAGTTGATTAATAACTGCATTAATCATGATGAAAGCTAAGAAATTTTTTAAAAACATAACAAAAAGAAATCAATCTGACAGCATATGAATTACATCATTTTTTAAAAATAGAATATTGTCCAATAGTCCAATTCTTTTTCATAATAAGAGATTTTTTTAAAATAAAAACAATTCTCCGGAGATTTTCTACATTTTTAAAGAGCTCTTTGCTTTTGAAAAATATTCCGTCTTCATGTCAACAATAATCAAGTATTTCTCAAAGTATCTTCTTTGATCTTTTTCACATATTTGTTACGCCACATTTAAGCAAAATATTCTCTTCCAGATCACTAAACATAGGTGGAGAGTCGGTGGATTTAATCGAACAATCTCGAGACGGAACTGCGTGTGCTTATAGTGCTTATCACTGTACGAAAGGAGCCAAACCTAGTGCAAGAGGTCATCGTGAAGATTTAGCTATTGCAATGCGTGTTCTAGGTTCAGGATATCTCACCACATGTTTGCAAATCAAATACTATAAACCCGAGGATCATAGTCATTGCGACTGGGGTTCTAGATTACACTGTATTGAATTAGATTGTTCAAGTGTAGAAGGAAGACTTGTTACGGTAGATAAAGAGACTTATCGGAAACTTGGGATTGAATCATAGCATTCACAGAGCTCGCCGGATAAAAGTCCGGCGAGTCCAATAAACTCAAATGTTTCAACTTCACGTGAGTCTCAATGGTGGAAATTTACATAAATGTGATGTTTAAAAACTGCTTTTAATGTCTCAACTTTATAAACAAATTATTCAAAAATACTTGTATTAGGTACATTGTTCAATACGTCAAATGATATAATTGATTTTACAGCTAATATCTATCTTTTTTTTTCAATTGTTTTGCTGAGTTTATCATGACTCAACTGCATAATTATGTATTGATTCAAGTTCTATATAAATAATGTATTATACAAATGACTACACTATTTTCCAAACAATTGATTCGTATAACGGTTAGAAAAACAATTACAAAAAAAATTCATTGAAGCTTTTAAATTTTAAATTATATAAATTTTCTTTTTTGCTAAATAATCTATTTGGTTTAAAAATGAATTTTTTTATTGTCAGCAATGATTGTGTAATTAATCATTGATGTCAAATGATAAACAAAGGATTACAAAGAAATTGTTATGAAGGTTTGCAATTTTTTTTGCTGCATTTAATGTGATGGTGTCATTACGAGAAAATGTATATTTTTAATAATATAGAATTCTATAATTCATAACAATCATTTAAATAACTATGCAGCTTATAAAACTTTACGAAATTTCATTTAATATATAATAAACATCAGTTGATCTTAAAAATTGTATTTATTATTAAATATTAATTACCCATATTGAATTTAATTGAAAGTGAGAAAGCTTAAAAAGAAAACTGTATTTAAAAAATAAGATATATAAAATGTATATATATACATATATGTAATTTCAAAGTAGATTATATTCGATCAATATTATGTATTTGTAAAAAAGATTAATAGATTAGAATAATATTTATACAGTTCTTCGTATGATTACACTTTAAAAAGTAAATAATAATTCAATATTAATAATTATTTATTTTTACATTTCAGATAGCGAACTCAAATACTTGAAAAAAAAACTTGCATCTATTGAGTATTTTTCAAATTCTTTATTCTGAACTTATTCAAAAAATAACATTTGTTTATGAATAATAAACAAATTATTACATATGATATAAAAATCATATTATGTACATATCAACAATTGAATACTCAATGAGTAAATACTAGAATTGTAAAGATATATTGTTGTGTTATACAATTTTTCTATATCGTAATGTTTATTTATTTATGAAATTTATTATTTCATTTTAATTTTATTCACTGCACAAAATTGACTTCATGACGCAAATTATGATCTGTTTTTGAAGCCATTTTTAACATTCGGTTTCTATATGTAATCGATTTAACAACCTCACTAGCTTGGAACATAATTTAACAAACTCTCCGCCAAATTGGCGTCTTTTATCGATGCTATCCCAGCACGCATTCTAGTTGCCAATTTGGATGTTCCTTGAAGAAACATCGCTGAATGATGTATGGCAATTATGTATAAAACAGGACACCACTCTTTTCTAATATTTTTTCGAACTAAAGCTGTAATATAACTCTCTATCAATGATATATCCTCTTCAAGTGGATATAGAAATTCATTGAGAGGAATTAATAATTGCTCTGGAGGAAGTTTCAAGTAGCGTAAAGCTCCTGCATGCTCTGACCACAGCATTCGTCGGTAATGAATACTATGTTTTTGTGCAATAGGAACCAATAAAGCCATACAGAAATTATCATCTCCGTAAGAATTGGCACAAAAACATTCACACATTGCTGTATACAGATCTGTGAAGGAAGTGAGTCCTGGAAGCTCAGTATAAAAATCGAAGCTTTTATAATATTTACTCACCACTTCAGACATAACATTAGTTAATAAAATTGAAACTATTTTATTTAAGTAAACTGTGTCACAGAGAAATACTAAAATCAGACGAGAATAGCGTAAGCTTGGTGATAAATCATGAAATAACTCAGGCATTGTTACTTCCAGACTTAAGGAGGTAATTACTTTAATTGTGTCGTTTTCATTCCAATTAGTTTTATTTTTGTATTGTGTATAGCAGGCAACAAGAGGCAGATACAGCCAATCTTTCGGCATTGCTTGCTGATTCCAACTATTTTCACTGGATATATATTCCTCATAAATACTTGCAATATTATCAGGTAAGTGATGTGAAATCATTTCTTGAGTTTCATTTAATTTCAACGCGTTCAAATGATCTGAAAGTGTGTGAAGTATCATTTTTTCATTGGAGAAAATAATTCCAAGAATTTCTTTAACTATTTCAGAAGTATCTGATGATAAAACTGGTATCAGTTTTACTCCAATTTTCCATATTAACTCGGTTATCATATCATTTACTTTAAATTGTGCAATACTTCGAACTATTTCTATAATAAAAGATAATTCGGATCTGGTATACCAGCTGTTTTGAAGGGACCAATCATTACTTACGAGTTTTTTCAGATATTTCATTATATCTGTATTATTCAAGATAATTTCTAGTTCATTAAACATCTTAGCTTTGAGAAAAGTGCTCCAGGCTGTAGCTAAAAACAGAAAACATGAGTTTAAAGATACCGCTGGTTGCAGCTGCCCGTCTTTAGCAATAACTCCAAAGCTTGGAAGTGATGATGAATCTCTTTCAGATGCTGTTACATATTCGCTTAATAAATTTGATGTAGAACAGATATTATTAAAAACTTTAGCATTATTTATCCAGCCAGTTTTGAAATATGAAATGTCTTCAGTCACTCGTAATGTGATTGCAACTAATTTAGTATTACTCCATGTTACTGATGAAATATTTGATAATTGTGTACTCCATTTCATTAATAATGTAGAAATAATTGGTTTTAATGAAGTTTCAAGCATAGAAATATGTACCAAAGCTGTAGCATATTCACATGAGAGCTCTGAAGTATTTCCGAGATCATGATTGCTTAATAAAAGTTGCAGCTGTGAAGCTAACATTTGACTAGAAGCAGATAAACTATCTACAGCTAAACCATGAGTAAGTAAAAATCTCCATAAACGTAGCGCTTCGATAGAAAGACGAAGTCCAGCTTCACCTGTATCAGTAGTAATGTATGATATTAAAGAATGAATAATTTTCAAGTTGTTGAGACGATCTGCAACTGGTCTTCCAGCATATTCGAGTAAAATACGACATAGACGAATGGCTGACACGTTTGGAACGCCATAAGCGTTAGATAATAATTCAATATCAACAAGTCGTTGAGTAGATATAGGAATGAAGTTGTTGGCAATAATTTCCAAAAGTCGTGGAGTAGTAGCAATATTCAAAGCAGTCGAACGTGAATGTCTAGCAAGCCTGATTAAAATTTCTAAAGCAAACGTTACACCTGCAGGAGGCGGGCGCATTTCGCTTAATATGTATCTGATACGTAAAACGATATCTGATCTCATAGCAGCAGCCACGCAATCCAACTGAGCTAATTCATGATCTTTCAACGTAGCTGTATCTTCAACATCTGTTTTCGGTGCTGGTAGCTCAGGAATAACACAAGTTCCACCATTTAAATTCCATCCGTGAAGTCTATCTAAGCATATTTCGTCAGCTTCACTGTATAAAAATGCTCGGAGAGCTTGCATCGTCGCAGTAACAATAGCCACAGATAAATCATCAAGAGAAAATCTCAACAGTAACATTATATTTCGTTGATTTAAAATAGCAAGTGGTGAAGGATGTAAAACTTGATCGTACAAACCTTTTCTGCTTTGTTCCATAATATTTGCTAGAGTAGTAAGTGCTGTACATCGTTGTTGTTGAGCTGCTGATCGACTTAGTTGAAGTAATTCTTGAAGAGAATATCCTGGACGATCTGGTTCTTCTCCATGATGATGTAAACCTTTATTGAGTAAACTGTCATCTTTAAAAGGTAAAAGCATTCCAGAAAAATCAAACCGAGCATTATAAGGTTCTTCAGGCACTTTATCACTATGATTGCTCGCTGGAATTTCTTTCATCCATTCTAATTTTGCAGGCTCTATTTCATCCATATGAACCCAACCTTTTTCCGATGCTTGTTCAACAATTTCTGCAACTTGAGTTGGCGGCTCAGTTGACGCATCATCTAGCTCCATATTTTCTTCTTTTGAATTTATATTCGTTGTATCTTCTTGTAATTCTGATTTTAATTCTTCAGTTCTCGTTTTACTTTCATTGACAGAAACTTTATTATTGATTTTCTGAAGCGGTGTTGTTGTTTTCTTTTTTTTTTCTTTTAAGAATTTGATTATATCTGGACTAAGAATACTTTCCAAATGAGCTTTTTCTTTTAGAATTTCTTCTGAAGTCATTTTATTTAGCTTTTCTAAGTTTTCTCTATGGATTTCAGAGCCTAGTGGTCCTTCAACTATCAAACTTTGGTCAGAATTAATGGAGGGTTTTATTGAAGAATCAATATCCATTGAATTTTTTTCTAAATGAGAATCTATAAAATTCTTTGTTGCTACTGATTGATAAAAGAGACTCCCTGCATTATTAGAGCGATTTTTACTATCTACAGAGAATACTTGGGGGAATCCGGTACTTTTAGAAGCTTCCGAAAAATACTCAGATAATAATTGATGAGCTTGACTATCGGGCTTCTTTTCCACAATATTACCCATTATAATTTTTGAGTTAATTATTGGTATATTTTGAACATTATCGATTAACTCTTTTGAAGATTTTTCTTGGAGATTTTGAACAACTTCTGGATTAAGAACAGGGCCATCTGACTGAGATGTAGATAATTGTGCTTTTGCTAAAGCTCTTCGTTCAGCAAACTTTGATCTAAATTTAGTTGGTTTATTCTCAGGCTGTCCCGTATCTAGTTTTTCATTTAATTTTTGATTTTGAGCTCGTAGATTAATAACTTTTGCTGATGGCTCTTGTTTTGATTTCAAGAAATCTTCTTGCATACGAAAAAGCTCTTCTTCATTATCTCCTGGCTTTGGCCGTTTAATACTAGGCCCACTATCCATGTTTTTTTTTTTAATTTAAGTTCTGTAACAAAAATTACAATATTTAAATGTATCACAACTTCTAGGTTAACAATAAAAATGATAAAATCTTATGTCAACAATTAAGACTGTATTAATTTTACCAGTACAAACACTTTGTTATCAGTGGATTTAAAGCACACTCTTTATAAATAAAAATCATGAAAACCAACAATTAAATAAATATAAACTGATTATCACATGCAATTCTATCACGCTTTCAATGTAACCGCGGAAACCTCTAAGCTATATTTTTCCCGGTTAAATGATTATGTTAAGATACTAGCGAAAGCAAAAGTTATTTCCTATATATTCTGATACATTCGAAATCACAAAAATGTAAGAATAAACAATAATCACGTTGTTATTAACTAAAAATTCTTAAATTACTTCAACTGATGCGATTAAGAAAGATCCTCTACTTTCAGCATGACATATTGGCCTTCATAATACAGCTAAATACATATTTTTTGATTGGCAGTTGTTTTTACCGATCAATTGAACAAATGAGTGGTGTTTGCAGTTAATTTTCCGAACACAAGTAGCGCTAGTTGTTATTTCCATTTTAGACATGGACTAAAGTCATCCGTAAAGATACGATTTACCACTACAAATTTAAAATTCAACAGTAAAAAACGATAATTTAAATTTTCCCTTAAGGTAGTTCTATGCAAATATTTTTTTCGACCAATTTTTTTACAATTTTGAATATCCATGCAGTAATATATTCCAGAATAATTTGCAAAAGATCAATCGAATTAACCACATAGTTTATGAAAAAGTTATTTTTCAAATAAATTATTTTTACACGAATCTTGTAGGGACAGCCATTTTTACATGCCTTGGAATGGATGTTTTTATTTTTTTCATCGGAAACAAGTCGACAAAAATATTTCTAAAAATAGTAGTGGCCTAATCAATTCTTTTAGAACCCGATGTAATTGTTCTATCATTATTTACCACGTAGTTATAAAGAAAACTTCAATTGAAAGTTGAAAAATCTCATAGTATCGTGAGGGGACACGCGATGACTTACATTAGCAAAATAAAACTGGCAACGTTGCTTACGTCACTCAATATGATTTTTACCGCCGAATTTTCAAATCTTTGTCTTATCAACTCTGTATTGTTATCGTTTTTTAAAGAAAAATAATAAATAAATAAAATTATTCGAAAAAAGGATTTTTAAAAATTTCATTTTATTCATAAACAAGATAAAATTAAAATTGGCTCAACTTGGTCTTTTAATTCTTAGCATTTTAAACATTATTAATAGATAATATATAAGAAAAACAGAAATAAGTTAAATTGTTTTTAGAAAACATATATATTTTGCTTTGGATTTTCTATCACATTAATGAATTTTAAGTTATAATAATATATAATATAATAAAAGTTAAAAAATGTAATAATAACAATCGTTTTCAAATTCAATAATTAAATATTATATAGATTTATACTTTCCTTTTGTGAATTTTAATAAATATTCAATAATAGTAAGAAAATGACAATTTGAGCGCAAAACAAAAATGACTAATTATTTTTTTTGAAAAATTCAATTATTTTTCTTAAAATTTTTTTATTCTTAGTAACCAAAGTTGTCCCATCTCTATTTTTTTAGATAACAGGTCTATGATAGCATTTTCTCCATCCTGTAGGTATATTTTTTTTAATTTATTGTAATCTATCCCAGCTTGTGAGATTTTTTTAATCATACCAGACGAAATAATATTTTGAAGAGGTTGTAAAGTTTTTTTTAAACAGTTTTCATTTTGTAATCTCATAATAGATTGTAAAGTAGCTCTAAATGATACCGCTGTATCGAAAAACTCAGTTTTAGAAATTAGTAATGAGCTTAATTGCTGTAATACATTCGCGTCATACACTGCATCGTGAAAATTCTCGTTAGAATTTTCAGGTAGAAAATCATTTGCTAATGCAGATAACTTAAATACTCCTGGTCCTTTTCGATCAGGATACTTTGTTTTGAAGATATTTAAAGAATCTGAAAATCCAATAATCACACTTTCAAATTCAGATATTAGTGAATGTTTTTGAATTGCTCGAACTAAAAAATGCGAATCAAATGTAACTTTATGGGCTACAAGGAGAATAGGTGTTGACAATGAAGCTAAATAATTTTTAAATTCTAACAAAGCTTGGTGTATCGGTATAGAAGATACTTTTTTACCATGTAAAAATAATTCACCATGAATATTTTCTAACCCAGTAACTGCTGATGCAGAGACTGTGACAGGTTGTGATGGATTTACATAAGTAGAAAATACCGATTCTTGACCAACAGCTGCGATTTGTAAAATATCCGCTGATCTGCCAAATCCTGAAGTTTCTAGATCAAAGTAAATGATGTTGTACTCATTTACTGTTTTCAAAAGACAAGGTGATCTTTCATCTTCTTCATTAATATTATTTTCAGCAGATAAATCATTTGATAATTCGAGACCACAATTAGATTCGTACATAGTACCTTCTGACTTCTCGTTTTTTTTCCTCAAATCTACTCTTTGTTGTCGCAAATGTACCCTTCTCAATTTCGTTTTTGGTAAAGAAGCTGTTTTTGCACGTTTAAGTCTTTTTTCATCTAGTTGACTTGAAAAAGATGCGGTTCTCTTTCCTGGACTCATATTCAACTGCTTTTCTACTTTAGATAAATACAAATTACCTTCATTCTTTGTACATACAGCACTAGCTATTCTAAAATCGCTAGCCTCACTAAGTGAATGACAATCTTTTTTTGGATTCTTATGTGCAACCATATTGTGAAAGCTTTCGTTACTCTGACTGGATGCTCCAGTTGAAAACTTCGATGCATTATTTGCATACTTTTGAAAAATTGTTGACAACTCTTTGAAGAGCTCTGGATTGTGAAGTAAAATAGTTTGTGATTCGGTATTGTTATTAGAATCAGCAGAATCTCGATGACACCAAGAATCACAATTTTCGTGTCGCCCATAAACATGATCTGGAATAGATCGAAGTGTAGATGCTAATTTTGCTGTTTGCCCTTTATTCTGAGCTACAGCATATCCAAAGCACTTCTTCAAATGCGGAATTACGCTCTTATGTGCCATTTCTCTATACTTGTTTTTTAACGAATACAAATCACTAACAAAGTGTTTACGAAGATGATTATAGTCAGCAAACTTCACAATACTATGTGCACTATTCTTACGTACTGAAGATATTGTTGCACTATCTTCATCTCCAATTAAGACTCGAACATTCACGTTTGCTTCTTTTAAAATCGAGCTATCATTAACAAGAGCAGAACCAAGATCAGCCTCCATGGCTTTGGCAGATCCTTGAAAGTTTTTGCGACAGTCATGTTTTTTGTCAGCATTTTTTCCACACTGGCGGCATTTTCTGTTTCGTGTTCCATAATCGATTATTTTTTTGGATAAAAATCCAATTATTGCTCCATAACCGTTGAAGCTATCATAGCTATTTCCTGCACCTCTTTTGGACCAAGCCATGTCGTAGGAAACTATGATGTTTACGATGTTGTCTACTGCCACATCAAATTCTTCAGTATGATCTTCACTTGACATGCTGGGATCACGATCTAATTTATATAACTGGGGGTAAACCTCCTTCACCACTTCATCGGGGCTATTACAATAAAAGAAAATCAAAAAATTACATTAAAATTTATCGAAATAAACGAATATATTTCCTGAAAAAACTTCATGGAAGCTACAAAAAAAATTGAATTTTTATGGTACATTGATTACATTACATCATTTGAATTTCTTCAAATTAAAAATTGATTTCATTACGTATTTACTCCAAAAAAGAGTTATATTCATAATTAAAACATTTACTATATATAAAAAACTATAAACTGATTGGTAAAAAAATAGACATAAAATCATAAGTAACTATAGTTTTCAACTATCTATACAATAATCCATTCGTTTACTATGATTTTAAAGAATCAAAATTCATAAAAAATTAGCTTACAGTTCTTCACATAATTTTGTAATATTTTCAACCACAAGACGTCTTTCCTCTTCTGCAGCTTCTTTACAACTATTTTTGGCAGTTTTTTCAATAGCCAATCCAACTTCTCGCTCAAATTTTTTATATAATGCTGGATAAATTATTGGACAATTCATACAAGCTAACATTTTATTTAAAGCAGTACACCCAATCCCACTGTGTATGGCACCTGTAATGTTAATTTTACCTTAATCATAAAATTAGAACTTATAATTAATTACGAATAAATGATCATTATTTTCAACTGTATTTACCAAGAATTAATCTTGTATTAACATCACTTTTCATTGTTTTTTTATCACTTGACAGGTGTGATTTAGTCGTGTATACTTCTTTGACAGCTTGACATTCAGTGCATGTCACTAACAAATTCACTCGTTGACCAACTAATTTTTCTTCAGTTGCATTTTTTAAATGCAACAATTGACCACATTTTTCACATTGTAAATTTTCACTTAAAACTTGTAAATCTATAAAACGTATGCCTTCACACAAACCATGTTTCATGCTACTTGAGATTACTTTTGGATGTTCGGCTTCTCTATTGGAATAAGTTAAATTTCTAATTTGTTTTTTTAGTTTCCCTTTATTGAGAATCTCTACTGCTTTCAAATTTCTTTCTAGAGTTTTCTTTTTTATAAATTTACCCTTATATCTTGTTTTTTCCATGATGAAACAACTGTCAAATTCTTATATATGTATTTATAGGTTAGAGAGGGTTAAATAATGCGATGTTGCCACGATGCATTTGTCATAGTGTACGTGAAAAAATTATTTCTATGTACACAGCTTTTTATCTGTAGTAGGTACCGTATCGACAAAAGTTTGATTTAAAATAAATAAATAAGAATTATTTAACATATTTAAACAATTATTTTTCTCTTCAGAAACATTTATTATGATAATTATAATAGAATAGTAGAAGTGTTTTTACCCATTTTCGTGGAAAAACAATATAAATAGAATTAAAATCTAAAAGCATAAAAATAAATTTTTGTTTCTGAATATGCATAGAACTTCCTTAAGGCTGGGCTGAAGTCAGAAAGGCGACTGATTCCCCCTATCCAAATACATGGGATCGGGAAATTTCTAATTTCGTCGCCAATTTACAATTATTTCTATAAAATTAGGTACCAAATTACAGAGGAATTAATGCCGGACTGACGTAAACAACAATTTTTTGTATATAGTGAATATTTTTATCAAAAAAATTAGAAAGAATAATGAAAAAATTATGAATTGACTTGCCGCGCTTAAATTCCAAGATGGCGGCCACATCATTCAGATGAAAAATCACTAATTATTCTATTTTTATACGTTTTTCGCCCAAAATTCGTGTTTGCGTCAGTCCTTGCCACCTGTCTGAATGTTAAAAAAATCAATTCATAGTGTAAAATTGAATAATTTAAAAATAATTAGAAATCTTGTATTCCACATGATATTCTCCGGAAAATTAGTTCGAAAAAATTCTGATAGGTGACAGCATTATGCTCGCAGATGACCTCAGTCATCCATATTGAAAAAATGCTCAATCCGTATCCAGAACTGATGGTGCCCTGCATTTTGGCGAGTAAATTCTGTATGTGTGTGTACGGGTAATATATGTATGTGATGTAAACATAGTGTATCACTTTACAATGCCCTACACTTTGATGACTATTGCAGTTAGGATAAATAAAAATGATGATACTCATTTAACATTAATTAATATAATACCTGCAAATAACTTCAAATACATATACTCATCCATTATTATCATTTTTATTAGGTATAAATGTTAATCAAAAAGCTCAATTCCAAGTCGGCGTATCCAAGCATGTAGTGTAAAAACAAATATACATCAACTCAATATCGAGATTATGCTGGCCATGTGGTTAGGGCGTCAGAGTTCTATTTTGCCGGGCAGGGTTCGATCCCAGTCATAACCAATTTTTTTTTTCTACTTTATTCGTTAGATTAGCATGTAATTATAATATTGACATGCTATAATTAATCTTTTATAACAATTTGATTTTTTTTTCTCTTTATTCATTGAATTTATTGACGCTAAGTCGAAAAATATTTGAACAGAGCCATAAACTTTCTTTTTGTATAAATACATTGATAATAGCCTGTGTTTAACAACTTATACTTATACATCTTTACATGTATTAACAATGTTATGTTATTAACAAGTTAATCATATTATTATCAACATTGAAAAGTAGTTTAAACAATCCGTGGCGAGTTCCGGCACTTCGCTGGCAAGCTCTACCCCTACTCTCTATGCCCAAGCCTGCAGCTTATAATTTTTGAGCATATATAGATGTTTTGTAATCATAATAGCTCGGTGGTTAGCGCATCGATCTTTCATTTTGATGGGCAGGGTTCGATTCCAGTCATGGTAGTTTTTTTTTTCTTTTTCATTTGTTAGATTTGCATGTAATTATAATATTAACATGCTAAAATGAATTCTTACCAACGATTTGATTTTTTTTTCTCAATTATTTATGTAATTTATCGACGCCGAGTCGGAAAACATATGAACAGAGTTATAAACACTTTTTTTACTATAGCTATATGAACGTAGCTTTTTTTTAAGCAATTTAGAAATATTTAGAAGTAGTTGAAATAATCCACGGGGATTTCCGGCACTTCGCCGGCAAGCTCTATCCCCACCTTTCGTACTCAAGCCTGCATTATACAATTTATAAACATAAACATGATGTCAGAGATAATATGTTAGCTCTGTGAGTAGAACACCAAGCTTTCATTTTACCGATTAGGGTTCGATCCCAGTTATAGCCAATTTTTTTTTTTCATAAAAATTTTATATAAATACAATAATTGGTTGTTTGTATAAGTTCAAAATCAATTCCTAGTGTCTTTTAAAGACAACATTTTCTAAAAAAGAGAATTCATAGTAACTCGTTCCTCACCCTCAGCTTATTTTCAGAAAAACAAGTTTTTTTTCGTAATTAATTGGAAGAATAATGTAATAAAATATATGAATTGATTTATAAGTATATAAAGTCACTTGAACAAGATACAGAAAAAAAAATTGCCTATGACTGGGATCGAACCCTGCCCAGCAAAATAAAAGGTCGGGGCTCTAACCACTGAGCTATTATAGTTCCAATTATATAAACGATGCTTGAAAATTATAAGCTACAGGCTTGGGCACAGAAAGTGGGGGTCGAGCTTGCCGGCGAAGTATCGGAACTCGCCGCGGATTGTTTAAACAATTTTTTATTATTAATAAGTTGTTAAAAAAGGCTATTATCAATGTATTTGTACAAAAAAAGGTTAATGGCCCTGTTCAAATATTTTCTCATTTGTCATTGATTAATTGAAAAAAAAATTTTACATAAAAATTGAAATTTAAAACTCATTTTTGGCATGATAAAATTGCAATTACATGCAATTTAAATAAAAAAAAAATTTTGCCGCAATTAGAATCGAACACCGTTCGGTAAAATAACTGGCGAACCTTCTGACTATAGAGCTAGCATATTTTCATTTGCTTTGTTTACGTTTAGATATCGTAAGCTTCAGGCTTAGTAACAGAGGGTGGGGAATGTGCTTGCTCGTCAACTGTTCGAACTCGCAGTCTGCTCTGAAAAATAAGACGGAGATAGATAGATATATTTTGTGCTCTGTCTTGCTCGGAACAGATTATTCTGAAATTTGTAAATTTCTTGGTACCCTAAGGCTCCCTTTTTGTAGTGCATCCCTGAAAATTATCATTTTTCGAACGATTTTCCTGTTACCTACTCAATTTCAGTTGACGTCAAGCTTCGGCCTTTTGCCGCACAACACGAGGGCGTAAAGTCAACTCCGGGAAACTTTCTGACTTCAGCCCAGCCTTAACAATAATTATACTTGATTTGAGTATACTTTGTATCCGTTGTTAGCATACATTGTAGGTATCACGTTTTTTTTTTCAGTGTACATTAGAGAATTGTTGTTCAAAAATTGAATTTTTTAAAAATTTTCTTTGTAAACGATTTTTAAAATTCATTGAATACTTATACCAATACTTTTTTTGTAATAAGATATTGTCATACCATAGTTTTGTGATGTTAATAATTCGTGCAAATTTTTAACCTAAAAACTTGAAATTCAAAGACGTTTGAGGGTCCCGAATATTTTTTTTAGCTGTGATAAGGTTATCTTTGACAATAAACAATTTTTACATCAAAAATAAAATGAACATTATGGATATCACAAAAACAGTTGAAGAAGCTGTAAAACAATTTTATTTGGAAGGTGCCAAAGATCTACATGAAATGCTTCTTCGGTTTCAAGCTTCCCCAGAAGCTTGGAGTTTTGTATGGCCTTTATTAGATCCTTCAAAAGTATGTTTATTTTGTAATTATGATTTATATAATCTTTTTTCTTCACAGAATTGATTGTATATATTTGATCATAAAATAATATTGGAAACAAGTTTTACTTAATCAATTTTTTATTTTATTGCATTACAAAATAGAATGTAGAAAATTATTAAATTTTTTAGGCGTGGGAAGTTCAGTTCTTTGCAGCTTCTACTTTACATGTTAAAATATTAAAACAATGGGAAGAAATCCCAGAGTCTGAATATCCTGCATTAAAGAATCAGATACTGGTAATAATGACATCATCATCTACTCCAAAATTGATCCAAACAAAGCTTTGTGAAGCGGTACAATTATTTAATACGAATATATATTTAATTATATTATGTATTATAAATAACCAAATTAATTTTTTTAGTTAGCAGTCTTTTTGGCAAATCATTGTATGTCAGAAGATTATGACCAAGAACTAATGGATGATTTAATAGAAATTTTGCCTTACAATAATCTCGAAACACTAGACCTTCTTTTACGAGTCTTATCAGCCCTTCTAATTGATGTGAATATTATTTACTAAATAATAATACTTACAAACTTGTATATAAACTAAAGAATACTAACCAACGATTCAATAAATAATTTATTGCAGGCTGAAAAGCGAACTCGAGCCAAAAGAGTAAAATTAAAAGAACAATTGGGTGTTTCCGAATATAAAAAAATTGATTCAGAAATTACCTATAGTAAAGTGACTTGGTTACTCCAACAAGTGTTATCTTCATGTAATCAATTAATATCGAACAATAATAAATATAGTTCATTATATATTTTAGCTTTAGAGTGTGCTCTTTCTTGGATAAAACTTGGCCCAACGTTGGACTTAGTTGCACAACTATTTGATCATTTCCCGACTGCAGCATCTCGTTATGTTCCTCAAGAGCCAGGATGCGATGATGATAATAAACCATGGGAAATCGTTCAAGAATTTGTATCTATTGCAATGACTAATGAATATCTTTATCGAAGACCTCAGCTTTTTTGGAGTTGGACGAGAAGTTTAGTGTCAGTGGCACAAGAAAAAAATAATGTTTGGTTTGCTAGAATTCTCACTACAATTGGAGATGCTCACACAAGAATGTTATTACAAGCAATTATTTCTGATGATCCTAATGAGTCTCATAAATGGACAGTTGAAATCTTAATTAAGCTTATTCTCGATTACACTGACTGTCCTGGGAGATATCCAATAGATGAACGTCATAGTTGTATACCAATTAATTTTTGGTATTCTCTTCAAGATACCATCGAAACTTTTGATCCACCAGATGATAACCGAATTAAAGAGATGTTAAAGCCAATTTATATTCGTCTAACACATATTTTACTCCGAAAAGCTACTCTGCCGTCAACACCAACTGAAGCAGGAACAGCTCGAGATCGTGAACTATTGAGATGTTATCGACAAGATATAGCAGATACTTTTAATTATTGTTTTCGTATTTTAGGCCAAGATCTTTTGGTCATTCTTGGGCAACGACTCACTCAACCACTTTTAGATACTTTAAAATGGCCAGACGTAGAAATAACATTATATACAATTCAAGCATTATCAGATTGTATAGGATGTCAAGAAAATGATTATGTATCTGCGCTTATAGATTTAATTATTTCCCATGTTTCTTATGACAGATATCCTCAAGAAGTATTAGCATGTGCGTGTTCGACATTGGGCACTTATGCTGAATGGTTAGGAGACAATCCAGACCCTTGGCTAGAACGATCTCTTCAACTTATTACATTTGGCCTTACGCAAGGTTCGATGGCTGCGACACGTGCTAGTATGGCTTTAAAAGATATAACGAGAGAATGCCAACTTAGCCTAGCTCCTCTAGCACCTTCTTTGCTAGACACTATTAGTAAAACATTGACAATTCTTCCTTCAGGAAGTGGTGAAGGTTTAAGATTAATGTATGCTGCTGGAAAACTATTAAATTCACTTTCTTCGACCGAAGAACAACTGAAACACTTAGATAATACTTTGGGACTTTGTGTCATGAGATTACATGAACTTTTGCAGCATCCAATAGCTTCAGCAAGAACTGCGGTTATCAATCAACTGAAAATGGCAACAATGTTCTTGTCAACTCTTGAGGGAGCCATTGGTAAATCAGTATTAGATCGACTTTTACCCATTTTTAATCAATTAGTAACTCAAGCAGAGTGGAACCAAAATGATCAGACTTTAGAAGCAATGCATGGTTGTATAGAAAGATCTCTCCAATGTCTTTTACATCCTGAACAGGATGCTAGACCGTTATTATCACTTTTAGTTACCTCTTATAAAATACGATCACATCCTTCAGCACTGAATTTATTGAAACAAATGGTTTCATTATTCGGTGGCTATTCAGAAGTTGTGATTGGACCTATATTCAGAGAAATTAGTGCACATACTTTAAGTGGCTTTAATGCTTGTAGAATGTCCGGTGGAAATCTTTCAGATTTTTGGGATTTAATGGAAGCTTATCTTGGATTACTTTCTTCAACTTGTAGGAAGAATCCATCGTTGATGATGCAAATGAGTGATCAACATCCAGAAATGTTTCGTTATGGTAAAATTTCTTTTTTAATTACTAAACTATAAGTTCTTTCAATTTCTTTTGAAAAATGTTAAAAAAGCTTTCCTTGTTAAATAGGCATTGAAGGCTTAGGATTTCCAGAAAGTGATGTTATTAAAGCAGCTGGATTTTTTATAGTGAATGTAATAAAATTTCTTCCATCAGCTTTTATTCCATCAATTGGCCAAGAACTTATTCGGATGATTTTACAATGCATAGGTGAAATATAAATTTTATATAAACAATTTTTAAACATTTAGACTTTAATATAAGTGTTATCATAATTAAATATTGTTTCCAACACAGGAGGACGAACGGAACGAAAAAATCTTGAGACCCATGCTAAAGTTTTGAATGCATTGAAAGCTTATTCGAGGAAAGATTTAAGCATTTGGGTTCAAACTGCATTAGAAGAAAATATTCTTCCTATTTCACCTGATAAAAAAGCATATTTAACCCGTGCTATTTTTAATAATCAACATTATTTACAAATATTTGAATATTTACAACAATTTAGTATAGAATTTCAAAAACCCCCTGTAGGACTTTGAAGTAAAATATAATTCTTTGATTTCAATATACTATTTTGCAATGTATATTACAAAGTATAAAATTTTTTAACTCAATAAATTTAATATCTTTTAATCTTCATTCCAAACGAAATCAATATCAACTTTTGAAACATGGTAAATAATGAAGTAGCTTTGTAAATAGCCAATTAGTTAGAATAAATTAAAAGTTGAATTTTTTATTGCGTTAAATTAAATTTTTGTTGAACATTTTTAATTTAAAATGAAAAATAATTAAGAAGTATATTTTATTTGTTTATTGATTATTGATTATTGTTTATTAAATGTATTCTTTTCTACAGACTTAGTTTTTTTTTGGGTTCTTTTACTAAACCATATAATGAATGTAAATTTTTTAAAACGCCTATTTTACAGAAAAATATAAAATAATATTCATCAATTCATTTATAATATGTAAAAATAAAAAAATCTTTCGTTCAAATTGAATAATAAACTTCATCATTAGGATTGAATCCATCAAGTTCGGTACGATATCAATTTAATTTAAGTTCAAAACTTAGGATTTATGACTTATTTTATTGTTGAATTTAATGAACAGAAATTCTTTAGATGAACAAAAATAGTAGAGACTCATTAAAGAAAAATTTAACGCAAAAATGCTAGAAAAAATAAGAAAAAAATAATTCCTCCAATGTTGCATTGTTACTCATTTATATCAAATCAAAAAATTTTAATATATTATAATCAGAACTGTACACTTTTTACACGACATTAACGATTATGTGATCAAGTGTACATCTGAAAAAATTTATCAATTGTTTTATAATTGAAAAAAATATTTATTTTCATTAAAAGCGAATCATTAGAAATTAAAGTAATCAAAAAATATTAGATAATAACAATTGAATGATTGTTTGAAAATTTTTCAAAAAATGTAAATAATTAATAGAATCAAATAAAATTTTCTACTAAATTAATTACATTTTTTTCCTATTTTAGAATTACGTAAATTCATTCGATAATTATAGTACAAACATTCAACTGCTATTATTTTCTCCAATTTTTTTCGTATCACTGAGAATTTAGTAGTTAATATCTATTGGGCATCACTTCCGTTGGATGGTGGACCTCCAAAATTAGCTGCCACACGTGACTTTCTTGGTCTTGGGGCTTTTTGAACTTTTTGTGGTGGAGGATTTTCAGCAGTATTAACTTTTGTCTTATTTTCATTAAACTGCACAGGTGGGTTTTCAACTTGCTCAATTTTTAGAGAATTAATTTTCGGTGATTGAACATTTTTAGATTTTTCTTTTAAATTTGGAAATGGTTCTCTAGGTTTTTGTGCCTTTTTTTGTGCTTGCAAAGGTACAAATGAAGTTGACTGTTGAGGTTTAAATTCTGTTTTATTCTCTATTGAGCCAGAGGATCCTTGAAAGTTCACTTGAATTTGAGGATTTTGTATAAATCCTGGAACTTGCTGAAGTAATAAAGGTGGATGTGGAGCTTTATTCCAACTTGACGGTGGCCTCACAGAAGGCATTCGTGGATCTGGAAATGGTCTTGGTGACATCATAGATTGAATATTCACTTGTGGAGGTGGTGGAATATTTTTCCAAACATTTGGTGGACGCATTTCATAAAATAGTTGTGGCTTGGGTGCCTTAACTAAGTTTAATTCCTGATAGGCTTTCATTGCTACGCTGTCTGCCGCTAATTCCAAATCAGAGCATAATTCTCCATAGAAAGTCTTCATGTTTGGGAAAATTATTTGCGCACGGAAAAGGTTCTTTTCACGTGTATAGAAGAATCTTGGTGTTGTCAATCCATGCATTTGAAAATAGTCTAATAAAAGTTTACTGTAACGGACGTTGGTTTTTTCCTCTTTGTTTGCTTGTCTTGCATACTGTAATAAAACAATATTCAAATATTAAATATTTATAGTTAAAATGGAACAAGTGTTTTTTATTAATATGAATTTATGAACATGCAAATATAGATATTGTGTTTATTTGAAATTTTAAGTAAAATTAATATATGATTAATCAAATGAAACAACGAATTAATAATGAAAATCCATTAACCCAAATTTTAGACATACGTCAAACATTTGTTGTACCAAGGTTGGGGCGGATTGTGGCACAGGTGGAGTTGACGGGAATACAAAAGGTTTAGCTTGAACTCCTGCAGATGATTGGGATGTATTGTTGTCTGATTTGTCATCTGATATTTTCAACATCGCCTTTAAGAAAGCACTGGGATCTTGAGGCTACGATAGTAATAAGGTTTGTTAGATTATTTCACATTAATAATACTAGAAAATATAATATTTTACTTCTATTAATTTTAATCTATTGTTATTTTAACATGCAACAAATTATTTTCTATAATTATTTTTTTATTCATGTTACTAAATTAGTAATGATTTTGAGACTATGCTTTGGAATTAATTGATATTTTTTAACATTATTATTAATTTGTTGACAAATAAATTGAGTCATCAATATGTACCGGATTTTGCACTGGAATGGGAATTTGTGGAGTTGTCGGTAGTGGTGGTCGGGCTGAAAAGCTCATTGACTTCTGAGGTCGTAATTGAAATGGTACATTACTTCCATCAGCACTACTTGGAATGTTTGGAGCACTTGGAACCTGGTTAAAATTTATTAATTATTTAAAATCTTCTTTTGTAAAAAATCATTGATTTATCATTTTACATATATTTTTATTTAAATATTTACCGCAGATTTGTGAAGTTCATTCCACAACATTTGAAACTCTGTAGGCTGGTTTGGATTTTCTCCTTGGGGTTTATTGTTGATTTGAGTATTGACAGGAATGACAGGAATATTTTGTACATGGCTCAATACGGGATTAACAGGAATTGAAGAATTATTATTTTTATTATTTTTTTTAATTGGTGAATTCGGAAAACTTTGTGGTTCATTCTTTTTCATAACTCTTACTTGGCTTTGTCCTTGAGGTTGTTGAGTTTGACTTTTACAAAAAACTGGCAAGAAATTATCATGCTTACTGAAAGATGCAAAAGCGCTTGGTTTCATAGAATTAGAATTGTTATTTTCTGATGTAGATTTTGTTTTCTTTTTCATAAATGTTCCTAGGCTTGCTTCAATTTCAGAGATAGTCTGTTCTGCTCTAAGTCCATGGCTGATATTAATAAACTCAGCTTCAAGTAGTTTCAATCGTCGACAATCTGACGAATTATTAAAAGAGATATTTCCAACGAATGGTTTATCAAATAACATGTCATATGATTTTTCTGCACCATTAACACCATGGATACCCACAATTGTGCCTTTATATCCGAGAGGGACACACGAGTCTTCTCTGACGTTTATTATTCTATCGAAAAGTTGATATTGTGCCTGGGGGTCAGGTGGAATATTACCATTACAAATTCCAGGCTTATAAAGTAAATGAGGTTTTACTTGCATTAAAATGGTTTTTGATTTATTTTCCTCTTCATTAACATATTTATTAATTTTATTTTCTAGCTTCGTAATAACGTCAGGATCTAGACCTTCTTCATCACAGTTTCTAGTAACAATGCTTCGGTAAGGTTGTTCTTTAAGCCATTTAGTAATTTCGGTAAGTTCCTGAGTATTTGGAAAAATGTCATCTTCATGATAAATATCATTACTAACATTCTGGGCTAAATACTCGAATAACAGTGGAAATCGTTCCATATAACTGCGAATTAATCCAATAGACTTCGAACCATATAACCATTGTCCCTCAATTTTTTTCGTATATCCCGGCAGCTCTTCGTTTTTTTTATTAAATTTAAGATTTAGTCCTATATTCTGTTGTTTTTGTTCAGATTGTTCCTGTTTTTGTCTTGGTAACACAAAAATAGACCCTGTAATTCTGCTTAATAAATGACTACTTATTCCTAAACGTTGAGCTGCAATATTACCATACATATACTGCATTTTCAATTGATTTTGTTTATATTTACAGGGTTCTAAGTTTGGTTCGGGAATGACTTTCATTGCTACTTTAACTCTACCAGTTTTCAAATTAACCCCTGGTTCAATAACTTCACCCATAGCTCCATAATGTGGATGCCCAAGCATGAAACAAATGCTTTTTGGTGTGTAAATATCAGTAATATTTATGTGCGTTTTAAATCCTTCACCTTCTACTTCAATATCTCTCACGATTGTCTGATAAGCGTAAACTGTTGGATAGTTGTTCCATTCTTTTTCTAAAGACAACCTTCCTTGAGAAGTACAAATGTATCTGCGGCCGCAAATAGGTTTCGCATGAATCAGAACATTTGTAGTTCCAATGTCAATTCCGAATCGATTTTTGTAACTTGTCGCAACACTTTTCACTTGCTGATTCCAATGATTATCCTTTTTTAAATCCTCTCTCTTTAAATTATCTCCGCTGTATCCTTTTGTAGAATCAATTAAGGAAAAAGATTGATCTTCAGTAGATATTCCTATTACATGAGCTTCTAAAAGATAAGGCCATTTTGCGTAAACGATTTTTCCTAAAATATCACTTGCTAATGTTTCTAGTGATGGTGATTCTTTTGGTAAAATTGTTATTATCATATTATTTTCTCTAGAAGGATGATCAAAAACTTTTACTTTAGATTTACTTAAATTTGCATTGTGTTTGATGTGCTGCATTGTAGGAAATCCGGAGTAATAAACATGGAGCTTTACACCTTTGCATAAACCCTTAACTAGTTTTTCTTTTGGCACATATATTTCTGATGGAACTATTTGAAATGCTTTAGCATAATTTTCTATACTTGGAAAATAATCGGGTGCAATAATAGTTCCACATGCTATTTCAGAGTAAGAAAAAATGTTCATGGGACCATGTTGATTTCTTTTACGTTCTTCAGCAGTTAATTTATGATTGTAAGGCTCCATTGCTTTGATTAATTTATCTTCATTGATAAATGGAATTAGTACTACTGCTTCCCAATCTTGTTTTTTTTCATTTAAATCTGTTCGAAACTCTTCCGGATAATAATCTATAATTGGAGACTGCTCCTCTGTTAACAAACTTTGATAAGCTTCAGGTAACAATGCTTTACTTGCTGCTGGCAAAACTGCCAACAATTGTTGAAATGGTAAAAATGGTTTTCCAAGATCAAAATCAAATTTCAAATCTTTAAATCCTTTTATATCTGATATATAAGGTGCATAGTGATGAGGATAATACCAGGACCAACTACAACACCCATTATAATAGTAATTTAAATTCCACTGAATCGCTGTAACATATGCTTCAGCTTGAGAACGCATTACATCAGCATCTACATTCTGATATTCAAACTTTGTCATATAGTAATCTTGTTTATGCAATAAAAATTCATAATTATTCATTTCACTTTCAGTATCTGATTCATTTTCATCATCGTCAGAATTATCTAATAAAATTTCTTCTGTTGCTTGAATTAATGCATCTAAAGCTTTGTTTACAGTCTTTGAAGACTCCTCTTCAGAATCTTTAGATTTTTTATAATTCATACGTTCATGTTCATTCGGGCGTCGACCAGTCTTAGTTTCAAAATATTTTAAGTCTGCTAAATGTTCTGTAAAATGTTCTAAATCAATTACTGCAAGTTCTTCCATAAACTTTTCAAATCTCTCAAGGTTTAAAGTTCCAGCTTCATTTATATATCCATCTAACGTTGGCAAAATTTTCATATAAACATGACTTAATACTGATAATGCTCCATTAGCAATGTGAAGATTTGGTAAATGGGGTATAAAGTCGTTACCCACTAAAAAACCCATTAAAATCCAGTCGTCTATTATTTTTTCTAGATCAAATGGAAACGGAAGTTTATCCTTCATTGATTCAAACTCATGTTCCATGTATTCACGAAGTAGAGATATATAGAGCAAACAAAATTTCGTTTTTTCTATAGATTTAGCTTGATCGTGTTTCGAATATTTCACTTCTTCTCTTAATACTGCGAAGTGAGGTTCATGAGTACACAAACTTAGCATTATAAGATCTGCATCTAGACCATAAAAACAGTGGCGAATATTGGGATTATAATCTGGTTGTGATTTCCTATATCTTACATAATCCATTATTTTATGTTCTCCTTCGCCTGGGACCTGAAATATAAAATATTTATTATTTAAAAAAATATTTAATCGTATTATTGTGATGTTATTTTATTTATATTGATTGTTATGTTAGAAGCAAATGATTAAAACAAAAATTTTACCTCAGGCCCACTTAAAATAATTTTGCATTTTTGCCAACACTTGTCTGTAGAAATTTTATACTGCACAAAATATTTTAATTGTTCTGTAAGTTTAGCCATAAACAGTGTTCCTGGAGTTATACAATTAGAATCGAATCGAGATTCCTCAGGCAGCTTTTCACCTTTTGCAAGAGCTTTAGCTTCTGCTATTTCAGCATCTTTAGCTGATCGAAAACGTCTTCCTCTTTGTTGATTAATTTTTGCCCGTGGAGCCACACCATCAACCGCCAAAAAAAATACTTTTTGCGGTTTAATAGTACGAAACAATGTATCTACATAATGAAATATATTTTTAAAAATAGTTTCTTCAGTAATACGAAAATGGGCATTAGCATTATTTGGATGTGAACAGTTGTGTATTATTCCATTCATATCCAAATATAGATGATCAAATTCAGGAATCTGTAAAGAGAATAATATATTTATATATATAAATTTATGATTTGTAAGATATTGTTTCTATCAGAATTGTTAATTTAAGCGTCTTTACTTAATTTTTAAAACAATGTGGTACCTGATATTCGTTTAGCAGTTCAATGATACAAGGATATCTCTCGCAAATAAATCTAGTGAACTTTGGAACACCCATTTTAATTTTGATGGTCGATTAATAAAATAGTTAAAGTAAAATAGCCTTATGTTTAATTTAAAATATAAATTGAAGATAAAATATTTATATTATGTATACAAAAATTAGAAACTAACGTAGGTATAACCACAGTTTTCATACAAAGATTTCTCTATTTCTCTATGTACAAAACCCTTGTTTATAAATTAAAGAAAAACACGAGATGAAAATACTGCATAATATTTTTGATCTGCTGGTTGTATTGCTTAGCGTATTCGTGTTGTTTTTAGTAAGCTGTTTCATCCATCGATAAAGCAACTTGCTACTTTTAAGTCTGTTTAGCATCTTTATATTTTATAATCCCGGGGCGAATCATAACTGAAGTTATCAATTAAAAATTGCAAAGTGACAAATTCAAATCGCATTTTTTAAATTTTATTCTAAGTTCTGAATCCGAAGATTAATCACTTTCAAATGTACCTATTTCAAAAATTTAATAAAATGTATGAAAATGTTCTATATGTTTACAATAAGAGTTATTGAATAAAATTTTCTGAAGATAGAACAGAACATTGATTACCATTTATTACATTTCTATTTTTCATGAACATTGGATAATTATTTCTCACCGAACAATTTATACAAATAAATGTATTTCACTTTTTTTTATTAATTCTTAATTGAATCGAACGTTTTTTTTTAATAGTGTACTGCTTTCTCTAATCAAATTATTTTCAATAAAAAATTTATTCAAGTTTATTATTCGAAGTACAATCAAATATTAAAACGTTTAATTTTTCAGCAACAGAAAATGAAATATTGAGTAGTCGATAAAATTTGAAATGAAAATGCGATAAAGGTTTAAAGAAACATATTGGATCATATAGAAAAGTAAAACGCATATATGCTTTCATTTATGAATATTTTACAGATAATGAGAATAAATCGACAAATGTTAAACAAGGATTAACTCGTATATTATTTATTAACTTAATTATTTAATCAAAATTCCATGATAATAAATTAATATATAATTTTATGAAATACTGTGCTTGCTTGCTTATTTATCATACTTCTATGATGTACGATTGGTGTCGATTATCAATGTGATTGATAGTTTAAACCATTTTTTATGAAGTCTTTCTATTAATACTCATTTGAATAATGATTGTTAAAAATGTGATTATAAAATTATTATTCAAAGTAATTGAAGCAAAATATATAACATGAAAATGTTCAATTTAAAAAATCAAACACTTTAATTGCACTTCAGTCATATGATATGTTTTGTGTTTTTTGCACGTAATGAGTAACATTACAATTTGTTTCAACTATTACGTAAAATATTCTCTTATAATTAACAACCTTAAATGTCACGGATTTTGTAAATAAGTATCTGTAATAATGTAGTTTCATAGATAGTTATTCAATGGTTATGTTTATAATAAATAAGTAAATTGATTAGGTACTTATGAATTAAAATAAATTCAACCAATTTTCCTAGGCATTATTAATATTAAACAATATAATTTTAACATTGAGAATTGTAAACATTTTTTAGCAGAGACTTCCTAGAATAATAAGAAAAGATATTCATAACATTAATTAACAACACAAACGCTTCACGATATTTATACTAAAATAGAAATCCCGAATGTTTTAAATCAATTCGTAATCATTTGTGACATATATTGTAACACAAAAAGTATTATTTTATAGACGATACAGATACAAAAAATTACAATATTTTAAGCTGAAATTAACCATTTGAAATAAAATTGATTTACAAAAGTATGTACAAATGTTACTGTGGTACAGGATTCGGAGCCAATTGTGCTGTTATGCTCAAGATAGTATTTATTAACCATCGAATAATCCCTGGCACTGCAGGTTTTTGTGACACTGATCCTAAAGCACCTCTCATTTCGTGGAAAGTATTGCGGGTAAATTGATTTCTTCGTGAAGAAAGGCGCATTTTGAAAAAGTGATAATATATAAATGGTGTTAACAATCCAGCTCGTCCACTGTATTATAGAAGAAAAAAAATTTATTCTTGCTAACTCATTGTGTATTAAAATATTTTCAATCAGTATTTATACTTACGTAAACACTAGAATAAGTGTGAGAGGTAGAATCAGTATTTCACAAAATGCACAGAGTCGTAAAATATTGCGTGACTGAAATTCTACTAAAGATATCGAAAGTCGTGCAGGCCAACAACAATTTTGTCCAAGAGCCTATCAAAGAAGACAATAATTTACAGTATAATTGAATGTTGTATACATTTTTTAAAAACATACTTACATCTAGTAATGTCAGAGAATAACTTGCTGCATGTAATACTGCGAATAAAAATACTGGTAATAAAACCACTAAATTTTTTTAAGAAAAAAAAAAGCACTTATTATACAATATTTATCAATTAAAAAAGTAAATAAAAATTTTAATATTATTTTATTTTAAAAGGATACTTGTCACAGGTGATGCATATAAAAATATCAACGAATATAGTAAATAATGGCATGAATCTTCCACCAGCAGAAGTTCAATAAACTGTAAATTTAATTGAATTCTCGGAATTCTCTGGTGAAGTCTGAGAGCACTCGTGGCTGCACTACTCATCAGGACTTTGTAGTATGCATCGTACGGATTTCTAAAGAGCACAGATGATAGTTAAATTTTTTTTATTAAATAATAATTTAAATAAAATCTATTCATTTTGTATTGAATGCGATAACTTTTGTCAACGTTCCTGAATGAAATAGTGATAGAATCCATTATGACTATTGAGAGTCATTATAAAAATCAAGTGCATGTATTACAATTCAACGAAATAAAAGTTGATATATTTTTACTTGATATTTGGATTTATCGATGAGAGACAGTGATATGTGCTACCTTATTTACAACTTTATGGTAATGAATATTAATTATATAAATCATTTACTATGATAGAATTTTTTTTGGATAAGTATTCAAGAATTTAACGGAGATTAAAAAATAATAACACAAGTCATTATTTATATATAGATAATATTCCAAATAACTATTTAGCTATAATTGATCAGTTTTTAAAACCTCCGACTTATTTAATTCAGTATGATGAAAGAAGTATGAATAAATGTTAATTTTGAAGAAAATTATACTTTTTAATTTATAATTCATACTTATATACGTAAAGAATATGAAGATAAAACAAGAAAAAAAAAAGGAAAATTAAACAACAAACTTTCAACTGTTAAACTACCATCAAAAATATTACATTTACCTAATGTTTTTATTATTAGAAGATATAGTAGGAGAAAAATATAGTTACCCCACAATCGGAATTAAATATAGAATAAAAAATAGAATAGTGATGATCCGTGTTGTCCACAATGCAAAATTAATTTTATTATCTAAAATATGCTGTTTGAGTACACCCCATCTTTTTACAGAAGTTGATGAAGATTGGTTATTCCCATAGTCTTCCGCCATTCTAAAATTTTTATAAAAAATTGGTTCAATAAATCATTATAAATCTAGATATTCACAAAAAATACGAAATAAATTTTATTTTCATATGAAATGTATGTAAAATATTAAAGAACAATTGATCACGAAAAGTGTGTCAAATATACAAAAAATGAATTAATGGAGTTATACAAACAGAGTAAAAAGTAATTAAATTGTTATAATTAAAATACTTAGAAAAAATAAATTTAATAAAAGGTTTTTTTTTTTTTTTTAAATTTACTTAGTCATGTATGTACACAATAACAATGTATACATATAAATCTAGTCCCACTTTCCAATTAAAAAAATTTCAAATTTTCAATGAAAAAATTATCGCATTAAAACCAAATAAATGACGTATATACAGTAATAATAATTATACTCACTCAACCAATTCCGTAATAAAATGTCGGTGTTCCTACAAAATAATTTTTAGGTTTTATGTGTTAAAAATTTTATTGAAAGTCAACTGTATTTTTATCTTGAATATCTTCCATTGGGACAGTAAAATAATGAAGCAAATGGCAGTGGCTGAGTGCTGCAATGTCTTGCGTGTGGTACCACACTGCTGCCCTCTATTCAGCTCAATAAATAATGAGGGCTAATATTTTTGTTATGCAGGGTGTCCGGTAGACATGGAGAGTATAATAAGGAGACCGCACTGACGTTGGGGAAGTAAAGCCCCGTCTACAATAGGACATTAGACATTAAACTTTAGGAATAAGAAACAAAACTTAGTCCATAGGAACGGAACATTAAACACTATCGTAAACATAAGCGGAAATGTCGATGCTTTATTTAATGTATATGTGTACTTTAAATTTTATTTATGTAAAGTGGTGATTTTTAAATTTATTCAAATACCTAGTGCAAATAATGAAGAAGAAATATATATTAGTGTATTTATGTGCGAAAATTTTATAAATAAATGATTTTTATTAATTCAAAACAATTAATATTTTTGAAAAATAATCATTTGGATAAAATTGTGTATAAGCCTGATACGTAATTTTATTTAACTGAGTGTTAATTACATAATTACATCTCTTGAAAGGTATTGTATTATTATATTTCATTATAAATATAATAAATAATTATTTTGATATTTATTAGTTTCATCTAATTTACAGAACTACTAATTCTACTTTGTCGTTTAATCTTTTCTGGAAAAAATATTGAATGAAATGAGTTATTCAAATCATAAACATAAACGGAGTAAATATATTGAACTTGATCGAAGAAAAATTTCTAAAGATTGTTATTTACATGAATTATTAAGCCATCAAGAAAAAAAGCAACGATGGTTCAAGCTCTAGAGCATCAAATGAATATTCACAAACAATATCAGAATAAAAGGATGAAAAAAATGATAGCTTTTCATTTACAAAATTTCGTTATGAACTACACAAAGTTTTCATTCCTAATCCTTTTTTAGTTCAAGATCCAGAAGATTTTTGGGCTTTTGTTAAAAAATATCAAGCTAAGCTTGAAAAGTCTGGGAAAAATACTTCCAAAAATCCTGAATTAAATTCAATTGGTGTTCCCAAGAAGTTTCATAAAAATTATTGCATCAATCTAAAAATTAATATTTGAAAATAAACTGGCTAAATTTAAAGGAATACCTGTTTTGTATTTAGATTTTAAACAAAAAGAAAAATTTGCAAAATTGAAAAAGCTCAGAGAAAGTCAAGAAAATTTGCCTGTGGCGAAATATCGAGATGAAATAGTGGAAGCTGTAAAAAATGAAAAAGTAGTTATAATTGTTGGAGATACAGGATGTAGAAAATCAAAACAAGTGCCTCAATATTTTTTCATTCTGCCGGTTTTGGAAGAACTGCTTGTACTCAACCACGAAGAATAGCTTGTATTTCTTTAGCAAAACGATTTGTTTTTGAAGCATTAACAGAAAATTTGAATGAAATAGGATATCAAATAAGATTCGAGAAACAAAAAAATCAACAGACTAGAATTTTATTCATCACAGAAGGTTTACTTTTAAGACAAGTATCTGATGATACTGAATTATCTCAATATGATGTTGTAATTCTCGATGAAATTCATGAGCGACATTTGTATGGGGATTTATTATTAAGAATTGTGGAATGTCTGATTCATCAGAAGAGATCTAATATGAAACTGGTTCTGATGTCTGCGACAATAAATATTCAATTATTTAGCAATTATTTGGCCAAAGAAGATGTTCCAGTTATTCAAGTCCTTGGTAGGCTATATTCCATTCAGTTGATGTATCGACCTGCTGGTATTGAAGAAACAAGATTTAAAAATGATCGCTTCAATTCAAGTCATGCAAATAATAGATCAAAAATATCCTAGTAAGTAATCTTATAAAATAACTAAGAGATCAAGGTGATATAATTTTTTTCCTTCTATTTCAGGTACAGAAAAAGGTAATTTATTAATTTTCTTCAGTTGAATGATTGAAATAGCTGTAGTGGTGGATGCGGCAAAAGAATATGCTCGAAAAAAAAATAATTAGATTATTTTACCACTCTATAGTACACTATCAATTGCAGAACAAGACAAAGTTATCGATTATCCTCCAGAAGGTGTAAGAAAATGTATTGTTTCGATCAACATTGCAGAGCCATAAATCACCATTGATGTTATAAGATTTGTAGCAGACAGAGGGAAAGTCAAAGATATAAGTTATGATTCTTCATGTAAAATGCAGAGGCTCAAGGAATTTTGAATTAGTAAAGCAAGTGAAGAACAGAGGAAAGGAAGAGCAGGAAAAACAGGACCAGGTGTTTGTTACAGAATAATTCCCGAAGAAGAATATAATGCATTGAATAGATATTCAACTCCAGAGATTCAACGAGTTCCTTTAGACTCTTTTTTATTACAAATGAGAATTCGATTTTGTCTTTGAAAGAACATGGAGCTGACAGAAAATGAATAACTTGCTTGTATAACTTTTGTAACAATAATTAGAATTTATTTCCATACATAAACTTTATTAAATACAAATAAAGATCGTATTTGTGTAAACACCATCAAACTTTAAATGGCTCAAAATTTTTTTTCAACGTTTTTCAAGCTGTGGTATATTTTGATCTAATCTCTCAAGTTTCTCATCACGATATTATGATTTCCACAAAGTGTTGCCCCAATTTTGATCTCGATTAGAATTATTTGGATTTTCTAGAAGCTGAAAGAGAATTGTTAATAGATGATTTATTGTAATTCAGCAATATAATCTGAATTATAATAAAAGTTTTAGATTAAATCACATAATCAATTTATTCATCTCAAAGTTAACTTACTTTTAATTAATATTTCTATTGTGGTCACCATGAAGTCCTCTAAAAACGTAGTCAACCTGCCATGGTACTTGACCGTCTTGACTCATGAACCATGTGGACAAATTGTTTCTCTGCTCGTGTGCTTCTGCAATTGATTGACGAGCGTTCGTTTGAGATAGTGGTTATATATTACTTGGTTCTGTTTCACAATCAGAATCCAAATCTATAAAACTATTTTGCACATTGTACATTCTTTGTTCATGAAATATAAGAAAATTATGAAGACTAACACATGCAGCAACAATGTGATCAGTATTTGTTAAACTCTTATGAATACTTCTTTTTAGTACTCTCCATTTACTCGATAAAATTCCAAAAGTATTTTCAATGGTTCGTCGTGCTCGAGACAAACGATAATTAAAAACTTTCTGAGTTGTAGTGAGTTCATGACCTGGATATGGTCTCATCATATGGCGTGAAATTTTGAAAGCTTCATCTCCAACAAAAAAATGGTGAGTAAACATATTAGATCCTGGTAATTTTGTTTTTTCTTTTGGCAGGTTTAATTTATCCTCTTCTAAAACTTTTCCAAATGAAGATCTTGCAAAAATACCACCATCACTTTCACTTCCATATGCACCAATATCAACAAAGGTAAATTTATATTCATGATCACACACTGCCAAGAGTACGGTACTAAATTATAATTGTAGCACATGGTTCCTGATTTAGGTGGAGCAATTATTTCAATATGTTTTCCGTCAATGGCACCAATACAATTAGGCATGTTCCATTTTTGATAAAAACCATCAGAAATAGCTTTCCATTGATCACTATCTGGAGCTTTAATATATTTTGGCATTAAAACTTGGGCCAACACAACACACGTTTCATTAATAATTGAATGATGTGTTGATCTTCCAATACGATATTCGACTGCCTGAGATGATACTTCATCACCTGTAGCTAAATACCTAAAGGACATATTTTATTTGAAAAATGATTTGCAATAAGGTAGTGTCGCTGAAGATGGCCCGGCTCCTAGGATAGCCCACTTTTAATTTAAAATTTCGCGGTACCATAGACAACACTATTGTCTATGGTACTAGTAGCATAAACCCGCGAAATTTCAAATTAAAAGTGGGCTATCCTAGGAGCCGGGCCATCTTCGGCGACACTACCTTAATAAATTTTTTCTAAACTTCAACATTAAGGACGATCAAGTTGTTATGATAATTGTAATAATGCAAATATGTTTTCTGATAGAAAATCTCAAGCCAAGTATTTGTATTTGTATTTATATTTGAATACTTTTCAGAAGGTATTTTTTACAAGTCTGAAAAATATATACCTCAATGTTATTAGCAACCGATGTTCTGCTGAGATAGATTGACGACGACTATTTTTGGTCAGATATGGAGATACTTCTTCTAATAATTTATAAAATGATTGCTGAATCATTCTGGTATAATTAAAAAATTGATCAGGAAAGTTTTTTAATTCCTGAAAGAGAGTGTTGAAATATCCTAATTTTTGTCGTTGCTGATTAATGGGATGTACCTACCACTTTCTGAAACGTTTGTTTTTATTTTTTTTAATATTTAAAATATGCTTGATCATCAGCATTAATAATTCACAATTTAAAAGAACAATATTTAGTTCTAAATCACGATCCATATTTTTTAAATGACAAATTTATGTTCACTTAATTATTTATTTAGCTTTTCATTGAAAAACTTCAAAGAAAAATTCTATTCAAATCTGCCAATTGTTTTTGAACAAAACAATTTTTGTGTTACATCTTTCTGTGTTCATTTCATTAAAGTTGATATCTGTAGTGAGAAATAATTATAAGAAAATGTCTGAAGAAGCGAAACAAGGAGATGAATTATTAATATCGTTAGTGAGATCATATGAGCATTTGTGGGATAAGAATAATGAAAACTATAAGGATCATCAAATGAAGGAGACGTCATGGTCAGAAATAGCATCAGCTATGGATATGACTTGTAAGATTTAAAAATAAAATAGATCTACATTGATCTATTTAGATCTTTTTTTTGCCACAATTAGATCTACTTTGTTCTGTGTACATCTGTTTTGGTCACTTTAAATCTTCTGTGATTTCTGTAGATGTATTAAATTTTTTTTATCATCGAGATCAATGGAAATCTCCATAGACATACTGTAATTTGTATAGATATACAGTGATCTTACTAGATATCCATAGATTTACTTAGATCAAATTTTTTTTAGTTTTTTAAATATGAGTAGATAAAATTAGATCTAAAAAATGGCAGTTTCAAAAACTACATTTTATTTATTTAAAAATTTCAATTTTATTATAGCTCACAATTGTCAATCACGATGGAAAAGGTTGAGAGGGTATTTTTCTAAAGAGAGAAAGAAAAGAGGAGACGAAGCAAGAAGTGGTAGCAAGGGAGAGGTTCGAAAGCCTTGGCCACTATATAAAGTGATAAATTTTTTAGAAGAAACAATGCACAGGAGAAGGTAAATACTACAAACTCATGTTCACAAACTAATTGACATTTTAAGGTGATATAGTTTATTCTAATCTAACAAATTTTTAGAGTTAAATTAATGAAAAAAATAAAACTGATTTATGTTTTTTATAGCTTTTAGAAAGTTAATTAATTGTTACAGAACGTATTCAAGTTTCAAAGAAAAAGATGACTTTTCCCCATTAATCTGCCCCGCCTCCCCTGCACTTAGCCACGGGGCCATTGTACTGGGTCCAAGCTTGTGGTAAAGGCGGTCTTAGGTGGGTTGGTACAGCCCGGCCTCGTAGCAAAATTGCAGAAGCCTGTCCGTCCCGACCGTCTCAAGGATGGGTGCGTCGGTCTCAAGGTTCCCTAACAGGCGCTGCCTGGGTTCCCTTAGCCCCGAGCATTCCCTTATCATGTGGAGAGGCGTCTCTTCCTCCTCACCACACCACCGGCACGCGGATTCCTCTCCGCGTCCCAGCATCTTCATATGGCGTCGAGTTAGCCAGTGCCCTGTGACGGTGCCCACGGCCACTCTTAGCCTTCTTTTATCCAGTCCGATCAGGTCCCTACTCACTTGAGTTGTGGGTTTCCTGATGAACGCTCTGGTGTGCCTCATCCCCGAGGTCTCCGCCCAGTAGCTGGTGAATCTTTTGTGCAGCCACTTGTCCCCCAGCGCCTTTACAAGTTCCCCGGGAGCGTTTATCTCCACTGGGCCCCTGTCACCTCCGCCGCTGGCGCCAATACGGGCCAGCCTGTCAGCTTCGGTGTTGCCGCGTATACCGCAGTGACTTGGTACCTTTAGCAGCTTCAGTTTGTTGCGGCATGCCGCTTGTTTTAGTACCCTTCTGCAGTGGTCCACGAGTTTTGAACAGGTAGCCACTTGCGAAAGAGCCGTTAAGGCAGCATAGCTGTCACTGCAGATATAGATATGCTGCCCAGTGCAATCTCTTTTGGTTATATGCATAGCGCATAACAGGATTGCGTACACCTCTGCCTGGAACACGGAAGCGTCCTGGCCCAGGGTGTAGGATTTCTCCACCCGTGGTCCCCCGCACCAGATTCCGGCTCCGGCCTCTCCCCCCTTACACTTCGCCCCATCCACGTACCAGACAGGCCCCTTGGGAGTAAGCGATTCCTCGCCTTCCTCCAGCCAGGTCCGTCCGTCCATGAAGATGACTTCGTATCCGGGTGAGAATTCTAGCTTCCTGGGGCAGCGATCGACCTTTTTGCCACTGAGTCCCGTAGGGTCCTCCGGGCCCAGAATCGCCGCATGCCCAGCTCGAAAGCTCGTCCACTGTCTATGGCTCCTCAAGCGGATGGCCGCCCTCTTCGCTAGCACCTCCACCATCAGTTCCGGCGGAGGGATGCTCAGTAGGCAGCCCATAGCTAGGGTTGGGGTCGTCCTCAGGGCTCCCGTTATACCTAGCAGTGCCGCTCTATAGACTTTATTTAGTTGCTTCCTGCAGGCGTTCCTCCTGACGGAGGTCCACCATACTATGGAGGCGTAGGTTAGTTGGGGAATGACAACAGCTGTGTACAGCCATTTTATTGTTTTCGGCTTCAGTCCCCATGTAGCGCTGAACATTCTTCTGCAGGTCCAGAAGGTAGCCGTGGCCTTCTTGACCTGTTTGTCCACATGTGCCCTCCAGTGGAGCTTCCTATCTAAGGTTACTCCAAGGTAGCACACTGTTTCCGAACATTTCAGCTGTTTGCCAAAGATGGAGGGAGGCCTGAACTCAGTCCTCCTTCCTCTTGTGAACAGAACCAGTTCAGTTTTGCTCGGGTTAACCCTGAGCCCTCGAACCTGGCACCATCTCTCAACGACGTTGAGGGCCGTCTGCATTCTGAGCGACAGACTACCCAAATCGTCGCCTGTGACCGTGATGGCCACGTCATCAGCGTAGCCTTGAACGCTGAAGCCCGCCTTTTTCAGGTTCGTAAGAAGTTCGTCCACCACCAGGGTCCACAGCAGGGGAGATAGGACACCTCCCTGCGGGCAGCCCCTGGCCACTGCAGCTCGAACCTCTGTACCTCCTAAATAGGCGATGGCCGTTCTACTGGCGAGCAAGTTCATGATCCATCGTGCAAGCGTGACGTCTGCTCCGAAGTTCTGAACTGCCTCACCCATAGTTTTGAAGGGTGTGTTATCAAACGCCCCTTCGATGTCTAAAAAGACCCCAATTGCCGACCTGCCTGTCTCCAGGGCTCTCTCCAGGCCTCCTACGAGGTCATGGAGGGCAGTCTCTACAGACTTGCCACTTTGGTAGGCGTGTTGTGCTGAGCACAAGGGCCTGGTGCACAATGCGCTCTCTTTAAGGTAACAGTCCACAAGCCGCTCCAGCGTTTTTAGGACGAAGGAGGTTAGACTTATGGGCCTGTAGGCCTTTGCTTGGTCATAGCGGTCCTTCCCCATTTTGGGTATGAATACCACCCTGACCGTCCGCCAAGCCTTAGGTATGTAACCCATGGCAAGGCAAGATCGGTAAATATGTACCAGTCTGCGCCATAGTCGCTCCCCGCCCATTTGCAGCAGAACCGGATAGATTCCGTCCGTGCCTGGACTCTTGTAGCGATCAAAGGTACCGACTGCCCATTTTACCCGATCATAGGTCACCACCCGCCTGGCGGTTTCCCAGTCGGCCCTTACGAGCCCGCCTGGTCTATCAGCCTCGCTTGTGGTTTCTTGCACCGGGGTCGATCCCGGAAAATGCGTTTTAATGAGGAGCTCCAGTATGCCTTGATGGTCGTCGACCATCTCTCCCTCCGGAGATTCTAGGCCTCGGAGCGCCACGTTCCTGCCGGGGGTGATCAGCTTGCGGATTCTGGCTACCTCAGGTAGGGCCTCCAGTCTCTCGCAAAAGCTTCTCCAGGCTTGCCTCCTTACTGACTTGATCATAGACCTGAATCTTCTCCGTGAGGTTTTAAATTCAGTCCACATCTGATCCGTCTTGAGCTTTTTTGCCCTGTTGAAGAGTCTCCTGGTTTCCCTACGAGCCTTTTCAAGCTCCCTGTTCCACCATGAGACCCTCCTGCACTCCTGCATCACCCTGGCTGGGCATGAGCAACTATAGGCCCCTGCAATAGCGTCTTGTAGGTCCAGCACTGCCTCATCGAGGCCGGCCGGAGACCCTACACGCCCTTCCGTTCCGGGTTCCCCCATGAGTCTTTCTAGTTCCTGCTTGAACAGGCCCCAGTCAGCGCTTCTCGGGTCCCTACGGAGTTGCGGTACCACGTTGCCCACTTCCCCTGTCAGGGTGAGGTTAATGCGCCGGTGGTCCGACAGAGTTTCCTCCTCGTCCACCTCCCACTTCCTGACGAAATCATAGATTTTCGCCGTGGCGACAGTTATGTCGATGACCTCCTGCCTGACCGAGGTAACAAACGTAGGTTTGTGCCCTCTGTTCAGGACTTCTAGGCCGTGCCGAGTGAGGTATTCCAGCAGGCTAGCCCCTCTCTCGTTAGTGTCGCTGCTGCCCCAAAAGGTGTGATGAGCGTTAGCATCACATCCTAATATGAGCTCGCAGTTCGTCCTTCGGCAGTACTCCACGAGTCGTTTGACCTCCTCAGTGGGTGGTGGTTCATCAGAGTCATAAGGAAGGTATGCCGAGCCGATAACGACTTTGATCGGCTCCCCTCCCAGCTCTATTTTCACCTGTACTGCCGCCAGATCCCTTGTGCAGTATTGGCTGAGCCCCACAGGGTTTAGTTCTCGTCTCACGAAAACGCATGCCCTAGGGTCCCTATCACCTTTACCGCTTATGAAGGATCCGCCTTTGGCGTCTCCCTTCAAGACCTCTCCCTCCCTACAATAAGGTTCTTGGATCAGGGAAACATCTGTGTGCTTCATCGCTAGGTCTCGACAATGTAGTGCCGCGGCCGTGTAGCAGTGATGCAAGTTAATCTGCGAAATCTTTAACAGCCCCGATATCACAGGGATTCCGGCGCCGTTTGATT